AGTAGACTTGATCAATCAATTCAAAAAACAGTTTTAATGAAATAAATTTCTTTATTGTGTTAAATTGAAGAAAACTTATTAATTTTCTATTGAAATAGGTAATCCTACTGTATTTTTCATAACTCTTTTAATAATCTGTCAGTCAAAAGATAGCTTAATCCTTTCCGCTTTATCATATTGTTCAATAGTAATAGTTAGAGCGATACATTTATGTATTTTTAATAAATCTATTCTATAAAAGAAAATAGTTATCTCGTCCCATATTACTAATCACTGTTTCTCTTCATTTAAGAGCAGATGATTTATTCAATATAGCTAAAATTGAAAATGTAAACGACAGTGTTAAATTAAATATTGGCGGTTTACTTCTAATTAAAAACGTATTGCACTCTATCATTGTATCATATCTTCTTCTTCTTCTTCTTCTTCTTTTCCTTCTTACTTCTTATTCGTTAGCTGTTCTAATTTGTAAGAAAGAAAATAGTATTCAACTGCATTCGGTAGTCCTTTTATAAAACAGACTCGTTTGATTTAGTTAGATACTTTGTACGAATATTAATTATAAGAAGGGAGAAGATAATGGCCATATTTTTCCAAAATGAAATAAACCTACCTCAACTTTAGACTCTTGTACAACGTACAAGATTATTTATGAATATTTGGAAAAAGAACGACCGAAATGTAGGGTTTCTACAGAAATTTTAGAAGGAATGCGAATAATTTCTCAAAATTTATCTCGTACGAACGAACCGTAAGCTTCTTGTTGAAGAGTTTAAATGCAAAACTGAAATATCTATTACTGTGAATACTTTGACGATAGTTGTATATTTTCTTCGTAATTGACAATTTAATATCAGACTAGCATTGCGGTCACTTTGACCGGTTTACAGAGAAGTCTATTTATACTTTGAAATCAAGGAAAATTTTAAATTCTTAGTAGTTTCTCCTCCTTCTCCCATGCTAACGAGCTGACGATATCAGCTATAATATCCAGTAGGTGGCGATAACGGCTGTTACTTTTGTGTAGGATTTATTGCCAATAAGGCCAATATTATCCTTCAAAAAAAGATTGATTATGATCCAATCGATCCCTAGACACTCTCTTCGATGTAAGATATTACTTTTATCAAACGAATAATTGGATATTTATTGACAAAATATGCCTAGATGTACGTCTTTGATTGTAGATGAATTTCTCACTTCTACACAGAATGCTTAATAGACACACCAACGACGGTACCAATTTGTATAGACAAAACGATTGATAGGCAGTTGAAAACAAGACAAATAATTTACACCATCACATGCGCAAACTAAAATAGAAGAGTTTGTTTTCCTAATGATGCTGCATAAATAAAAAGAAAACAAAAGATCATAGCTCGCATCAACAGTAACTTCTTTCATTCTATGACAAACACGATTTTATTATCTCATGGATAGTTTAATATTAGATGTCTCATATTTGCGAAAGCAATGATACCGTTCTAGAGAGAAAGAGAGAGAGAGAGAGAGAGAGAGAGAGAAAGAAACACGCACTGAGACACATACACACACACACACACACACATACATACATACACGCATGCAGCTATTGGTCACGATGTTAAAACGATCACGTTTCAGTAAATATTTTTAAACAACAGAAAACAATAATAATAAACAAACAACAAACAATAAAAACAACTGCAGCTAAAGTAAGTTAAATTATTTAAAATATTCCAGTCTTTTCATACTCTAATGCTTCCAATAATATTGTATTCGTTCAACAAGAAAACTCTACAATAACAAAGTGAGATGTCGTTTTATTAATACGATAACATCATATTTACAAAACGATTACGATCTTTTCTTTATAAAGCTAACTAAATCTTGCACAAATATGACTCATAATTATTATGTATACAATATACAGTATACTTTATATTCTAATAATAAGGGATTATATACGATTGGTTAAATCTCTTTCTTAAAAGTATATTATTCTTTTTACAATGTTAAAACTCAAGAATAATATATGATTGTGTTGGAAACTTTTAGATTTCCTTCTAGTAACATAATAGAGAAAGATATAGGTCTAATAGGTGTCCAGAGACCTAACCGAAATAACGAATAGCCCTTAAATTTCGCTTTTTCATTCAGATTTTGGAAGATAGATAAATTGAAATGTAAACAAGACAAACTCTTAGTTTGACTTTAATCGGCTTAAAAACCTCTCCTCTTGTAGGCTTGCTTGTTTGTTGATAAAAATCAGTTTGCAGATTTAATATGCTGACATTTTCTATTCAAGGTATACATCAAAAAGGTCTATTTAGTAAATTAAGTCTAGGGGCGAAAAAGCAGATTCATACGCTTATATAATGGCAGCAATTATCTACAACAACAATATTTTCTCCCGAAAAAAGCCTTCGGTTAGACTTCCTGTCGAGGGATGAGCTATAAATAGTCAGGCAGCTGAACGAATTGTCGTACAAATGAAAGACTATTGCGCCCATTGAGGAATTTATTAATCTCCGTGATATGACATCAGCCTTAAATTATTAATAATAAAGATCTATTGGATTGTTTCCTGCATTGAAAAGCGTCATGTTTAGTGAATTTTCATCAATTTAATTTACTCAACAAGGAAAACAATAGGCTTAAAACATTCTTTGACCTTGCAACGACTTAGCTATTTATCTATATAAATAAAACCTTTAATAAAACTCAAACTTATTGTTACTTTTAAGAGAAAAAAACAGTAATAAATCTCATTATAAAGAGAAATAATTCATTGAGATATGTAGATACAGATATGAACTCTATCTCTCTCTCTCTCTCTCTATCTCTATCTCTTCTTCTCTCTATCTAGGTAAATATGTGTATTGCGATTGCTAAAAGTGAAACAATTACATTTCTCCTGGTAAATTACACGTAAACCAACACTGACATCTAGTCTAGCAACAGCGGACATTAACATATTCTTTTCATTTCCAAGTATTCGACTGTTAATAGATAATAAAAGCGCCTACGTATTTTTTTTTACTTTGTTAACTCACTTTTCAACAGTAAGGAATTAAAAACTAGATAGCTTATTTAAGCAATATTCAATTAACTTTAGTAGTTTATCCCTTCTGTTGTTCATCAATCATTACCTTATCTACTTTCATTTTCCGATAAAAATGCAAACAACTTCAGATTTATCATTTCATTAGCTGTTAATTTGATAAAAGTTTGGCAACAGATAGAAGAGTTTAAAAGAATTGATAGGTAGACAAATAACACAAAGGATTAACAAGAAATAAAAAGATTAATATCTACTATTTTATTATGAAAACACATAGCTCTCGCCCACTCGAGTGTTTTGTATTTGCAACGGTGAAGAAATGAAAATTCCCGAAAAAGTGCTATACGCATTGAAATTTAAACTATTTGTCACTATTATTTCTGTTGCTATCATCATCATTATTATTATGGTAACTTTGTTGGCCTATTTTCTTTAAAAAGTCTATACTATAGAGGTTAAAAAGAGACTACTTTGCATTTAACTGTTAATTAGAAGAAACATATTTGAAGAATGGAAATTTCCAATAAATCCACTCTGTACTCTTTTATAAAGCTATAAAGTGGATATTTACTGTAAAACAACTTAAAATTGTTATTCGCAACCAATTAGGAAAAGGGGAGAATATATTTTCTATCGATCAAAAATTGTTCACATTTTTCAACTAATTGTACAAACCTTACAAGTTATGCTCGCTCCTTTTATTCATCTGTTTAGAAATTCTAGAAAGACAAGGATAGTGATATTGTTAGAGAAGTTTAGTAGTACTCTCTTTCGAGATTGCCACAGGGGCTATCATAATCAATTCAACATCCCCATCTGCTATCCGCTTTGATGACGGGAGTACATGCTCTTAAAGCTAGAAATCACAAGTAATAAATTACCTGGGAAAGAGTAATTTCCCAAAAGGGTCATGATCTTAGCGAAGGTTACAGTCATGAATTAACCCATTAACTATTTGATTCATTTCTCCTCAAATCGATGAAATACGTAGGGCTTTTTTTTTTTCTCCCTCTCTCTATAAAAAATCAACTTGACCAACTTGTCAGCTTTCAATAAGCGATTACCAATAGCGATATTTTGTTTATTTCCAAAATAAGCAGTTAAAAGAGTTCGATCCGATTGCGCAAGCTACTCTATCGTCATAATTCAAAAAAAGAGAATAGAGTAGAAAATATCTTACATAATTACGTAATTATTATTATTATTGTCAATTCTATTGTTATTAAACCTTTCCCATAAGAATCTTGGATAAAAGTGTCATTTCACTAAGCTTGTTCCAAGATTTCTATAGATACGATAAGAATACTAATCAGTTTAGCCTTACTTCGAAAAGGAACCCACTGTCATTAATATAGCGCTGAATCGTTATAACGTTGTTGTTCTTTGAGTCTTCCGATTGAAATACAATCAACAATTAAATTATTAATACAAACTCTGTAATATATTAAAAGATTTGGTCTTGAAAATTGTTTATAAGACTGTTTATGTAGCAAAAAAGTTTGATTGATATAATTATGTTTAATTATCGTATTGAGTAGCTATTCTATTATTAATATGTTTATTATTATTGCTAATTATTCGAGTTAATAAGTAAGGAGGACAATAGGAGGGTCTAGATCTTGAATTTACATAGATGCTTTAAATAAATCGATTAAACAATAAATAATTAGTTGTTTAATTACATTTATTAAGAAACGAAAGACTTTTGATTGAAGGAAAATTTTAATTTCCGGTCATTCAACCTATTGACCATCAAGAAATTTTAATATAATTGTTCTATAATATTTTAATGAAACCTCTAATTTCGGGTATTGAACTCGAACAGTCGTTCAGACCAAACTTGTTTTTAGCTGGATTAGTAATTTATTAGACAAGAAGCTTGTGAATAAAGTATATAATAACAAAATTTTAGATACAGGCCTATATTTACTAGTTCTGGAATATAGCTTAAACAAGCACTAAGCAAATCCTGGCAGTTATTAAACTATTCTCAGTCGACAGTGCTAAAAAACTTTTAGAGCCTACCTTTCGTTAATTTTATTTTTTATATTTTGCGTTTACTTTTTAAAGAATCACTTGATAAATGAATAAATCAATTTAAATGTCTTATCAACTCTTATCCTCCAAAGTTAAATTCACTTTATTAGCTATTTATCTCCTTTTTCTACCTCATCTTCAATGTAAGTTGGATATAGTTTTGCTTTGTTCTTTTTTTTAAATTTTTTTCATGTTCGTTTTTTTCAGCGATTACCTTGAATAGATCGCCGGGAGGAACCATCCAACTAACCGAAAACAATAAATATGCTCTTCCATCCGGTGCATTAACTTTTTCGGATGTATTCACTGTGACAGCAAGTGTAGGAGCTGTAACAGTCACCCTATTACCAGCCAGCGTAAATACGAAGTTTGAAGTCGTATCATCTTCCAACACTTATACTGTTCAACAAAGGAGTAGTGTAACATTTGACTACGACTCTGGAGAAACTTCTTATACAATAACCTACGAGTAAGTTATACAATATATCCAATTTAATAAGAGAGAGAAACAATAATTCAATAACACTCTTGAATCCCCCCGCCTTGAATATTTGAAAAAAAACCAGAAAAAAGGTCGTTTTTTAACTTTATTCGATATATTGAATTTTTTTTAAAAAAAAAAAGAATTCTTTTTTTCCGTCTAGTTTAGTTGTAAAAATGTCAATATTTTATGTTTGTTCGTGTCGATTTTTAGGGTTTGGTAAGTTTCGAAAGTAAACTTTATACTATTGAACATGTGTAATTAAAAGAGAAAACTATGTTTACCGATTGTACAAAGTACTTTTTTTTTTTACTCTTTCGCCCTACGAAAGTATGTTGAATATTAATTAGTTTTAAGAAATCATAAAAAGAAACCCTTTTCTAGGACATAGCCACCTCCGTTAACTTAATTACTTCTTTAAGGCGAATGGTGGGTGGAGATTAGTGGCACTTCAAGTAGGTTATTAAATAATTCTATTAAAAGATAATCCGTACTACACGTTATGAGAATAAAAATATTGTTATGTCTGTTTAGTGATATTAAATAATTTACATATTTCGTAAATAATATGAAATATTTTTTAAGGGTTTCGGATACGGCGCCGTCAACGAGCACATTTACCGTTACTGCTCAAATTAACGACTGGAACGATGAAACTCCAGTGTTGGGTAACCCCACTTATGTTTCAACTGTAACGGAAAATCAGGCTCCGGGTATTGTTCTAACTCTAGACAACGCTATCGGCCTAACAGACGGCGATGCTGAAGACACCGGTCATCTCGTTTATTCGTTAGCCGGTACACAATACTTTTGTTTTATAATATATATCCTATACACAGACAGTTCAAACATTTATATAGATCCAATAACCACTTTCCCCTTATCTTTTTACGTTTAGGAACCAACGCCGATAAATTCGCTATCAATCCTACAACCGGTGAAATTAAGACTGCAGCCACCTTGGACTACGAATCATTAAGCGCTGTTGCCTGTAAATGTTACGATACAATCACAATTTTGGGAATTGATAGAAATTCCCATACTGCAACGTCAACGTTAACTGTTAGTATTACCGATGCTAATGATAATACGCCACGTTTCAGTCAAGCAGCCTATTACGTTCAAGTAACGGAAGGGTTAACAACAGGTAATATTACACTTTATTCATTTGTTATGGTCGGCTCCCTTCTAGAGATACTTTTCTAATTATCAGCCACGTCTTTGGCAACTCTCGCTTGCACTGATAATGATTTATCGTCTTCATTTAATACTATCACGTATACAATCAAAAGTGGTGATGATGCTAGTGCAAAATTCTCACTCGGCTCATCCAACGGACTTCTACAGACGACAACTACCGCAATTGACTATGAGACAAATCCCCTATATACCCTTTTAGTTGAGTGTGCGGATTCTGGTAGTCTGAAATCTACGGGTACAGTCATCGTTGATATTGTTCCTGTCAACGAAAATACACCTGTTTGGCAGACTACTCCATCCAATACACCTGTATCCGAAAATGAAGCTGTTGGATTTCTAATTATGACCCTAACCGCAAATGATGCAGATACAGGCAATCTCGGTCATGGAGATGTTGTCTACGAATTGACAACCGCCGTAGACGGTTCGATTCATTATTACATTGTTTATTAACGTGAACATTCTAATAGTTTCTGAAAACCAAAATGTTCCGTTTAGGTTCGGGAGCGTCGTCCATCAGCTATTTTAATGTTGATCCCGTAACGGGAAAAATGCAATTAAAAAAGGCTCTGGATTATGAGACTTCAACCACTCATACATTAACAGTAAAAGCCAGGGATAATCCTACTACCGGTCGTTTATCGGTTGAGACAACTATAACAATATCGGTTACTGACTACAATGAATTTTCTCCGGTTGTCACTCCAATTCTTCAGTCCGTTACTGCAACTGAGGATGCGAGTTCGGGCGCAATCGCCACCTTGACAGCGTCCGATAGCGATGGTACAAAAACTATCGGCTGCAGCCTACAGTCAACTTTCTCAAAATTTTCTGCTTCATTTGCGGCATCAACCTGTACAATTTCTCTTGCATCAGCAATAGACCCCGACCAAGATGGAAGTCCAGATAGTGAGACCTACACACTTATTGTATTAGTTACCGACGGTTCGTCATCCGCTCTAATAACAACTGCAACGGTATCCGTCAGCGTTGCTGGTGTAAATGACAAAAATCCAACATTTGCTTCCGCAACATACACTCATACAGTAAGTGAATAATATAATTAGAGTAAATCATATCAAATATCGATATAACCTAAAATACATTTATATTGAATAGATGCCAGAAGATACAACTGTTGGAACGACAATTAAATCAATTTCGGCCACTGATCAAGATTTCGACGCCGTTCTTGCCTATACCAAACAAAGTATACGATTTTTTTACTTTATTAAGGGGAAATTCCCATAGTTTTCCCATAGAATAATAATAATTTGTTATCTTAATTTACAAAAAAAAGGCGGAGACACTGACAACTATTTCCTTATCGAATCAAAGTCGAACCAAGCGAATGTAATACTACAAAAGCCTGTTGATTACGATTCAATCAGTCCCAAAACAATCACATTAGCCGTAAGATATAAATGATAAATAAGCGTCTGATGAAAATAAAGATTTTCTTTTGAATTTCCTTAATTTACTTCTTTTTTAGCTTCACGTAACGGATGGGTCGAATACAGCTACGGCAGATTTAACTGTAACAGTTTCGGATGTACTAGATTCAAAACCGTCTTGCAATCCCGCATCATATTCAGTCTCGATCGACGAGAAAACGACTGGATCTGTAATTTGAATAAATTTTCTATAAACAGTATATATATATATTTATACTCATTGTTAAATTATTAACACAACACAGGTGGTTACTCTGAGTTGCACTGATGACAATTCGCTCACTTATGCTTGGGGTAGTCCGTCCGGAAATACTGGAAATGCATTTGCTTTGAGCGCCAGTACGGGGGCAATTACAGTTTCAACTTCTTCAGCTATCGACTATGATGCCGGCACAGAACTGTTTCAATTGACAGTCAGAGTAACGGGTGGCAGTGATTATATAGATATACCAGTGACAGTTGCTGTGAATCCAGTTAACAATAATAATCCGTTGTTAACAGCCAGCAGTGTAAATGTTGCAGAGTCGGCTAGTATTGGAGATTTAGTTACCTCTACTTTTGTGGCGGCTGACGCCGATAGAGCCCCCCATAATGTTGTGCTATACGAATTATTAAGTGGAGCTGGAACACCGGCAAAATTTGTTATTAATCCACAAAATGGAGAGATTCGCGTTGCGGATACTTTAGATTACGACACCTCACCAACTAGCTATTCTTTAAGTATCAAAGCAACAGATGGAGCTGGAAATTCGGTAAAAAAATTATTCCCAATCTAGAATAGTCTAGATTAAGCCCAACGTTAGTTGTTTTCACTTTTTTTGTCTCTTTTTATAGGATACAAAAATCTTAACCGTCACTCTTGACGATGCCAATGACAATATACCTACTTGCGATAAAAGCATATATAATGCTGTCGTTAATGAGAACGTAGGAACAGGTGAACGAACAAAGTTTCTTCCATTTATAATCAACTAAGCAATTGTTTTAAATACATATTAGGCAGCGTTGTGCAGGCCCTTACTTGTACGGATGCCGATACGAGCGGCAATTTTGGAACAATAAGCTATACTCTAACTGGAGACAGCGGAAAATTCTCATTGGATACGTCATCATCGCCAATTCAAGTTAAAACAACTGCTAGTGCGACCGACTATGAAACAGTGTCTTCCTACACTTTAGTTATAAATATGGTAGATAATAGTAACGTCAGTCCTAAACAAACTTCATCTGTTACCGTGTACGTTGCGATTCTGCCTCTAAACGATAATGCCCCAACTTGGGGAACCTTTACTCCAGCCTATACTTCACCTGCCTTTTATCAGTTAGCAGAAAATACAGCGATAGGTACTAGCGTAGCAACGCTAGCTGCGAACGACGTAGATCTACCAACTTCGTCAGACGATGCAACTATTCGATTTGGTATAATATCTATTCAAAAGAAAAAAGGAGCAGCAACAACGGCGGCCGCTGGAACATTTACTCTAGATTCAATGACAGGACTTTTAAAGACGTCAGCTTTAACGGATAGGGACGATGCTGCAAATGGAGTTGATGAATATCTATTGAATGTAAAAGCCGAAAATACCGATTCTACACCTCAATCTGTTACAATGACAATAACTGTTTCTATTACCGACGTCAACGAACACGCACCTTTTTTTAGGTGAGCATCATAATGAAAATATTAGCTTAATTGGCTTAACGAGATCTAGTTAATATTTGCTCGTTTTAATTTTTTATAATATTAGCGACAACTATCTAGTAAAGACAATTGAGGAAGGAAGTGCTTCAGGTACTTCTGTGGCTCAATTGGCGGCAACCGACGCTGACGGAAATAGTATTACATACGCCTTCCCTGCGTCCGGTCATGGAAATTCTGCTGCAAAATTTTCACTTACTTCCGGAGGCCTTCTTTCCACTACCGCCAGTGTAATAAATCTAGATGCTGGAACTTTGGATCCATCTTCGTACGACTTAGTAATTATTGCGAAAGACGGACAAGCAACAGAATTAACAGGAACTGTTACAGTCCATATTGACGTCACTTCCAAAAATGATTTCGCCCCTACCTTCTCTGCAACTTCGACACAACCTGTTGGTTCTTTATTTTCTTATCATTCCATTAATGACATTGTTTGAGAGGAGAATCTTTTTTTTGTTTTTTCTAGCTTGCTGAGAATACAGCTATAGATTCGGCAGTCATAACTCTTACTGCTAGCGATGACGACTCTGGAGCAGACGGAACCTTAACCTATGTCATTACATCCGGAAATACTAACTCGGAATTCGTTATCAATCCTTCAACGGGAGAGATCAGAACCGCAAAAACTCTAAACAGAGAATCAACTGCTTCTTATAATCTTGTTATTGAAGCAAGAGATGATGGAACAAATCCTAATTCGAAAACTGGTACTGTTACCCAAAGTATTTCCCTCTTGGACTCCTCTGACGAAAATATTATATGCACTGACTACTCGCACAGCATAAGTTTGGCTGAAAGCCACGCCGTTAATTCTGCGGTAAGTTAACTTATTTTCGTTAGGTTTTTTTTAAAAAGAAAACCAAGTTTTCCTGTTTGACCTTGACCTTTCAATTGTACATTACTTTCAACAGGTGGGTGTTACAATATCTTGTTCCGATGCCGACAGTTCAGAGACACCTACATATACTATCATAAGCGGAAACACCAATACGGATTTTGCTATTAATCCTTCCAGCGGTATTATTACTTTGGCAAAAGGTAGGAATTCTACTATCATTTTCCCAATCTTGTATTACGTCATATCTAATATGCTACCAGTTTAATATATTAAGATATTTTTTACCCAAATCAGCGTTGGACTATGATTCTGCTAACCAGTTCTATAGCTTGACTGTACGAGTAACATCGGGTAGTTCAACATTGGATATTCCAGTAACCATCCAAGTAACAGGTTTATCAAAATTGGGAAATATTCTGAAATTGTTGTGTCTAACTGCCAATTCTTTTTTAGGTGTTAATGAACACACACCAGTTTTCTCGTATACAACTGCTCAAGCAACCTTTCTTGTTTCCGAAAACTCGGCTATTGGCCATAGTATAACTTCCTTTACTGCAACCGATGCAGATTACGCTCCCCACTCAGTGACAACCTACTCAATTGAAGCAGGTAAACAACTTTTTGAATGGAAAAAAAAGCTATTCAAAATTCAGTCCTATACTACTATAATGATACAGTGAATATACAATTAATCATTTTGTTTCAGTGGATATATCTGGTGGAATCGATAAATTTCAAATAAATCAACATTCGGCCGCCCTAATTCTTGCTCAAACTTTGGATTACGAATCGGATAAAATCTATAAACTTACCATAAAAGCAACTGATGGAGCAGGACTGTTTGTTAGTTTTTAGAGAAATATTTTACATTTTTTGTCCATAGGAACTTGATATCAATTCTTTTTATATATATATATATAGGCTAGCTCAACTGCAACAGTATCCGTAACGGATGTGAACGACAACACACCTAGTTGTACTCTTAATAAATTCTATGCAACTGCAAATGAAAACTCAGCGGCTGATACAAATGTAATTGATTTATCAACAACTTGCACCGACGGTGATCACACATCTAGTGGAGCTAATGTGGCATTGAATTTTGCGTAAGGAATTTTCATTAGTTAAAACTTTATACATATTTTGTTTGTAATGGGCATTTTCTTTTTAACACAAATAATAGAATAACGGGTGGAGATGATTCAGGTTCAAATAAATTTAAAATCGGCTCGGCTAGCGGACTTATACAAACAACTGCAAACCAATTGGACTTTGAGACGACTAAAATCTACGCATTGGTTATTCGTTTAGTTGATGGAACTCCAGGTGCGGCAGGAACTAACACTGCAACAACCACTGTTCAAGTTACCGTTTTACCCGTTAACGAACATACGCCAACCTTTTCGCCCACCCCTGGTGACATTAACAAAGGAGAAGATAGCGCACCTGGTACTGAACTCTTAACACTCGGCGGATCCGACAGTGATGATTCTTCAACCAGCCATGGACAGTTTACATTTGCTCTTGTCTCTGCCAAAGATATGTCTAATACTGACGTGGCCACAAAATTTCGCGTTGATGCATCCAATGGAAAAGTATATACAGCAGATTTCATTGATAGAGAAACTACAGATTATTATTCGTTGGTCGTTAAAGTCACCGACGGAGGTTCATTGTCGACAACCGCTAGTTTTACTGTAAACGTCGACGATGTGAACGAATTTGAACCAGCATTTTCGAAATCTGTTTATACTGCGAATTTAGCGGAGACTGCTATTGCTGCTGACGCAGTAATTACAACAGTTACGGTTGCTGATAGCGATAAGACAAATTCATATACATTTTCTATATCTGGAGGAGATACTACAAAATTTAAACAAACAAGCAGCGGTGATGTGGCAACTATAAAAGTCAATACCGTTTTCGATCCCGATGCTTTGAAAGTTGAATCCTACTCACTTGAAATTAAAGCAACTGATCAGGCATCGTCTGCTAAAACTGCAACAACTACAGTCATTATAACAATTGTTGGAAATAATGATAACACTCCAAACTTTGCAACTGATCCTTACACTCATAATCTGCCAGAGAGTCAGACAGCAGGTGCAACTCTTTTCACTGTGGCTGCTACTGATGGAGACTTCGGAAGAGATGCCGCATTAACTTACTCGGAGAGAACTGGTAGTGGAGATTCAAGTGATTACTTTGGAGTTGGTGCGTCGGGAGAAGTCTATCTTAAAAAGATGGTCGATTATGACACAATGGGTGCAACTAAAGTGATATCATTCATTGTGGATGCAGTAGATAATGGGGTATCGAAGAATACTGGCAGTACAACAGTTTCAGTAACAGTTACTCCCGTAAGCGATGTAATTCCCTCCTGCACCCCTCCTGCTCTCAGCGCCACAGTCAATGAGAATGCTGCGTCTGGATTTACTGCTGCCACTCTTAACTGCAATGATGATGACGCTTTATCTTATTCAATTCAAGCAGCTACAAATATTGATACTGCATTTGATATTTCCTCAACGGGCGTTATTACAATAGCTGACAAGTCTGGTTCTACTGCACTAGACTGGGATAACGCGGCAAAACCCAAAATTTACAATTTAGTTGTTGACGTTACAGACGGTACAAATACAATTAATATCCCTGTTGCCATTGCCCTTCAGCCTATAAACGAAGATACAACACCATCATTTCCGTCGAATCCCACTGTAAATGTACTTGAAGACAGAGCTGTTGGATTTTCAGTAACAACTTATGCAGCTAGTGATGATGATGCAGATCCACATCATGTTGTCAAATATGAAATAAGCGCTGTTGATCCAAGCACTGGTGCTTCTCTTTTCCAAATAAATCAAGCAACTGGAGAAATAGCAGTAGCTTCCAGCTTGGATTATGAAGCGGCGACTAAGGTTTTCAAGTTAACTGTTGTTGCAACAGATGGAGGAGGTGCTCAAGTAAATAAATATAAATATAATAATATATACCAGTTTCTCTTTTTGATTATTATATCACCTATTTATTGCAGGGATCGGGAACAGTAACAGTATCAATTGATGATGTAAACGATAATGCTCCTAGCTGTACTACAGAACTTTATGCAGCTACAATTGACGAAAACTCTGCCGCTAACACTGACGTCACGGTTATCACTGGTTGTACTGATGCCGACACAGTAGGAAATACGGGCGCTTTCGCCTATACGATAAACAGCGGCGACGATAGTACTGCCAAATTCGCAATTGACACTTCCTCTGGTGTAAGATTGAGGACAACAAGTACAGCCCTGGATTACGAAACAAAGTCTCATTACGAGTTAATTCTTTTCTTGACTGATAATAGTGGTGCCACTCCTCGGTTGACCTCATCCATAAAAGTTATAGTAGATGTCCAGCCGGTAAACGATAATTCTCCAACTTGGGGTTCTTTAAGTAGCCCGTACGATGTTTCTGAAGCAGCTAATATTGGTCAATTGGTTCTCACGCTGGCGGCATCTGATAGTGATCGAAGCGGGGAAATAGATTCTGAAATAGTATTCACAATAGAGTCAACTACTGCAACCTTAGGTAAGAAAATGAATTACCATATTTTATGTACATTATTACATATATTTATTATTAATTATACTCTTTAACCAGTTGGCGGATCAACATCGTCTTTGGCACACTTCAGCTGCGATCCCAAAACTGGTATTATTAGGACTAGCAGTCAACTTCAACGAGACGGAACTGGTGTAGGGGTTGAATATTATACGCTATCTGTAAAAGCAAGTGATCGGGGAACTAAACCAGCCGCTTCTGCAACAACTACCAGTATTAGGATAAACGTTCAAGATGTTAACGATGAAGTACCATCCTTAGATTCTAATGTCTATAATGTTGCAATTCCGGAAAATTCCGCACCTTCAACAAGTGTTTTAGATGTTGTCGTCACGGACAATGATGCAACGACGGCAATTTATTCATACTCTTTAACTGGATCAAGTGGTGCTGCATTGTCAAAATTCTCTATTACAAGTTCGGGTAGAATTCAAACACTGGCAGCATTCAATTTAGATGGTGGTGGAACTCCAACAACTAAATATACATTACTTTGTACTGTTGGTGATGGAGTACAGACGTCTCAGTCTGTTGCTTATATAACAATTACACCAACAAATGATGCTGGCCCATCATTTACAACTCCAAGTCCAGCCGATATTTCTGTTAGTAATATATGCAATAATAATTAATGCTTTTTTAAACTGTTTTTCTTTTCGTTCATATTATAGATTCCGGAAACTACATCAGTAGGCGATCTAATTGGAGCAGTTGCCGCCAGTGATGCCGACTATGGCGATGTCTTAACTTTTACCAAAGTAGCAGGATCGGATACTGGAGAATACTTTCATATCGACAGTACAAATGGAAATATTTATTTGAGAAAAGCGTTAGACTATGACACTCTTACGCCCAACAAGTACTTTTCATTGAACTATAAAGTAACAGATTCAGGATCTCTGTCTGCGACAGTATCACTAACGGTTAGTGTTACTGATGTTTCTGATAAGGCGCCAACTTGTACATCATACACTCACACTCTTGTATTGGCCGAAAATACGGCTGCCAATACTCAAGTAAGTAATATATAATTTGTTTTTTTTGTGTCCATTATCTGATCTTCAAAGTCAATTTTTCGTTTAGGTAGTACTAATTGATTGTACCGAACCGGAAGGAGAAAGCATGACGTATGCTATTCAAAGTGGTGGTGGATCTGCTTTTGAAATCTCCGCTGCAGGTAGCCTCAAGGTTAAAGACCAAGGATCTGGAGCCACACTTTTGGATTACGATTCAGCTACCAAATTCTATTCCCTAGTTGTGAGAGTGACTGGGGGTAGTGATTACGTTGATATACCAGTAACCATTTTATTAACTGGAATAAATGACAACACCCCTACCGCATCAAATCCAGCAGCTGAGAATGTGGCTGAAACAAGTATAGCTGGTTATTCTATACTTACATATGCGGCCTCAGATGCTGATCATGGAGCAGATGGATCACTATCCTATCAAATCATATCAGTTACAAATAGTGGCGCTGATTACTTTACAATTTCGTCTTCAACCGGAGAAATTTTTCTTGCCAAATCACTTGACTACGAGACACAAACAACATACGCAGTTACAGTACGCGCCTCAGATGCAGGATCGCCAGTGAAAACAGTCAGTTTTGCTTAAAATAATTTTTAATGCTTAAAATCTTATTTAAAAAAATAAAAACGATTTAAATGTCCAGGTTGACTATGTTGCTACCTTTAATGTTGTCGATTCTAATGACAACAAGCCAACATGTACACAATCAGTTTATGTTGCAAATGTGGATGAAAATTCTCCTGATAGTAAGATTTGTCTTATACTGTCTACGTAGAGTATTCTATATATAATATTTCAATTGGAAACAGATACTCCTGTACAAGAAATATTGTGCTCCGATGCCGATTCAGGTGCCTTCGGAACTATTCATTCATATACGATTTCCAATGACGACCCAACAGCTAAATTCAAGATAGTATCAAAAGCTACTGGAGCTGATGTAAAATACCATTTAGACGCTTATTTTTCATTCGTTTCAAACTAATTCTTTATTTTTTACACGTTTTAGTTGAAAACTTCAGCTACAGCACTTGATTATGAAACAAAATCTAGATACGAACTTACAATAACAATTAATGACAATGGCGGAAATGCTCCTGTTCAAGTGGCTACCGTTAAAATAATTGTACTTGTAAATCCAGTAAATGAACATACACCGGTTTGGGGATCATTTACTTCAACTCATTCTATTCTAGAAAACGTTGGATCTGGTCACTCAATTTTTACTGCTACAGCAACTGATCAGGATAGCTCGGCTAGCGGTGACGGTCAAATAATTTATTCACTAGTGTCAGCTTTAGACTCTTCCTCCAACTCGGCAATAAGTCTATTCAGAATTGACCCTGTCTCCGGAGATGTTGAAACGACAGGAATTTTCGAAGCAGATGATGCAACGCCAATTACATCATTTACTTTAGTAATTAGAGCGAGCGACCAGGGAGCCACTCCTAAGAATCCAACGGACAAAACTATTACAATAAACCTTCAAGATTACAACGATAATGATCCCAAATTTTCAAGTACTGTTTATCATGTGCCAGTGGCGGAAACGTCAACCCCTGGCGCCACCCTACATACATTCACCGGAACGTCTGATGGCGATAAATCTACTCCAACTTTTACTTATACAATTGTCAGTGGGGACACTACAAAATTCGGGCTGAAAACAGGAGATACGAAAGTCTTACTCCTTCAAACTGCAATAGAACCAGATCTTACAACAAACGATGCTGCTTCTTATCAATTAGTTGTTAGAGTGACTGATGGAACATCACCTATCAGATCCGGAACTGCAACTGTCTACATTGCAATAACTTCAGTTAACGACTTTACTCCGTCGTTCAACGATGGAACAACAATATCATTACCGGTAATTATAGTTTTTCAATGAAGAAGATTTAATGAACTAAAGCATTCATTTGTTTTTACCAGATTCCCGAAAGTCAAGGTGTAGGTGTTGTATTCAAAACTTTATCAGTGACTGACAACGATTTCGATGATGCTGGCGTCATTGTTTGGGAAAAGTCTACTGCTTCAGATCCTAATAATTTCTTTACAATTGATTCCTCCACCGGAGCTCTTCAATTGGCTAAACCGGTCGATTACGAAACAGTTGCAGAGAGGTCATTTTCTCTTCAAATCACTGCAAAGGATAAAGGTTCTCCGGTAAAGAGTCAAGTTGCAACTGTAACAATAACTGTAACTAATGTTAACGACAATGTACCAACTTGCAATGCAAATTCGTGGCAAATAACAAAAGAAATATCCGAAACTACTGCTGCTGGAACTACTGTAGCTGATCTAGACTGCTCTGATCCAGATGGTGTTGCTGTATCTTATGCAATACAATCCCCATCAAACACTGGAACAGCTTTTCAAATAGATAGCAACACTGGTGTGATTACAGTGGTAAACAAGGGTACGGTACCAGCTCCTTCTACAGGCTTAGATTACGATTCTGCCACAAAAACCTACAATCTAATAGTCGACGTTACCGCAACTGGAGATACAATCAGCGTTGGGGTTTCTATTGCACTTACGGCTGAAAATGACAATAATCCAACCTTTGCTTCAAATCCTAGTTATTCATTCACCGAGTCCATTGCAATAGGACAAATCATAGCTACTTATATAGCTACAGATGATGATCATGGTCCACAAGGAGACCTTGAATATTCAATCCTCTCAGTAACTAATAATGGAATTTCTAAATTTACAATTGATCAATCATCGGGAAAAATCACATTGGCTGGTCTATTAGATTATGATACTTTACCAACAGGTAATAAAAAGCATGAAATTTCCGTAAGGGCAACTGATGGAGGATCGTCACCGGCCATCGGTACTGTTACCGTAGTTGTTACTGATGCTAACGATAATAGTCCCATTTGTACCTCCTATGCCTATAATCTTCAGCAAGCTGAAGCGACAGCTTCAGGATCTCTACCTTTCACGGTAATAAGCGACCTGGGATGCAGCGACGCCGACGATGGAACTAATGCCGCGCTAGCATTTACAATAACTGGTGATAGTAATTTTGCTGTCGTCCCTGGAACACATGGGAGAGGTGAATTGAGATTAACAACAGCTCTAAACTTTGAAGCAACAACATCCCATACCATGTCTATACAAATTGCTGACACTCCTGGTAAATCTGTTGTAATTGCTGTAACAGTACAAGTTACGGCAGTTAACGAAGGTCCGCCAGTTTGGACAAGTGCACCATACACAAGCCCAGTTTCCGAATCAGCAGTGGTAGGATCAGCTGTCTATCAAACTTCCAGTTCTGACCCTGATGGCAATACTCATCCTCATGGAAAGAGAGTTTATTCTATTCAATCGGGAAATACGGGAGGAGCTTTTAGTATAGACCCAGACTCAGGTTTAATTTCTGTTGCCACAACTTTGAACAGGGAAACAGTGGCGTCTTATTCTTTGGGCATTAGAATTACTGAACAAGCTGGAACAAACTCAGCAGATACAACTATTGCTATTACCGTGACTGATGTTAATGATAGTACACCATCTTGTACAGTAGTGTCTTTCAATGAGCAAGTTCTAGAATCTGTTACCGCGTCTCCAGCATCCCCTCATGATGTTATTGATCTATCTTGTTCTGATGCTGATCCAAGTACGACCCTAACATACACTCTTACAATTGGAGATGCTACAAAATTTAAAGTATCCACAACAGGAGTTGTAAGTGTTTTACAAATACTGAGAGTATATTTTTCAACAATATTTATTAAACAAACAGGTTCAAACTGTGGCCCAACTAGATTTCGAAGTCCCTGTTGCTGATAGGTCTTTCAGCTTAAGAATAACAATCTCGGATGGAACATTATCTCGAACAGTTGATGGCATTATAACTGTTGGACCAGTAAATGAAGCAACTCCAATTTTCACTAGCTCAGGAAATTATCCTATGGATTTACTGGAATCGACTGGTGTTGGTACCGTAGTAGTAAGCGTTACCGCTAATGATGCTGATAGTGGAGATACTTCTCATGGTCAAGTGGAATATGCTTTTCACTCAGGCTCCTACGCACCATTCGCTATATCTTCTTCAAATGGAGATATAAGTCTCATACAGGCTGTTGATAGAGATACAGCCCCAACTTCATACACTTTCAAGGTAAAAGCTACTGATGGAGGTTCTTTATCTGGAACAGCACAAGTTGTTATAACATTGACAGATGCAAATGATAATGCACCGGTCTTCAATCCATCTTCATATTCAGCGACAGTACTTGAAGAGTCTACATCAGGGACACAAGTTGTAAGAGTAACAGCAACTGACGCTGATGATCCAGGAACCAATAATTATGGAACAGTTGGATTTAGCATTTCAAGTGGCAATACCGGAACTGCCTTTGCCATAGATGCGACAACTGGTTGGATTACCGTCACAAATGCTGGGGTGGATTATGACAGCGCAGTTAAATCTTATGCCCTTGAAATAACTGCTACAGATAGCGCAGGAGCTGCTGGTGCTAAATCTTCATCTTGTACGGTAATAATTTCAGTAACAGCAGATAATGATAATCCTCCTAGTTTTACTTCAACTCCATATACCAAAAACATCTTAGAGAATCAAGCTGCTGGTTCTAGTATATTTCAGCTGACTGGCCAAGATAATGATCATGGAGCCGACGGGAGCTTTTATTTTAGCATGGCCAATCATGTAAAATTTGCGCTTGACTCTGAGAGTGGCATTATATCGTTAAAAGCGGCAGTTGATTATGAAACTCCAAGTGAAAGAACATATACTTTAACTGTAAAAGTCATAGATAGGGGCGCAACTCCAAGAGAAGCTTCGACGACCGTTACAATCAATGTAGGAAATGTTAATGACAACACGCCTAGTTGCACTCCTCGCTTATACGCCGTTAATATTCGAGAAGATGCTACTACCACGCCTGCTACTCAAATAGTTACCCCAGCATGCAGTGATGCAGATAGTGGAACTACACTTTTATATTCAATAACTTTTGTGGATGGAGTGGCAGGCACTGGAAAATTTGCCATTAACGGTGGAACAGGAGCTATTACCCTTGCTACAGCACTCGATTATGAAACATCAAAACAACATTCAATTATTGTAAAAGTTTCCGATCAAGGAGCAGCGCCAACTCTTACTACTACAGTTCTTGTCGTAGTTAATGTTTTGGACGTTAACGAAGCGGCTCCGGTGTTCGGTGGAATGCCTACCACTCACGATCTCTATGAAAATACACCTGTAGGAAATGATATATTAACAATTACTGCTACAGATGCTGATACAGCTGATACAATAACTTATGCGATAAATCCTGCTGATACTACTTTTGAAATGGATCCGAAAACTGGCCTTATAAAACTAAAAGACGTTGTCGACAGGGAGACGAGAGACTCTTATACTTTGACCATAGTTGCTACAGATTCCGGTACGAGAGATGCTGTAAAGACAACATCTCATAGTCTAGCAATAACTATACTTGATCGAAATGAAAAACCAGTCTTTTCGCCAGCTGCTTATGTAACATCAACCTCGGAAAATACAGCAGTTGGTAGTACTGTTTTAACAGTTACTGCAACAGATACTGATTTGTTGACATTTGGAGAAATTACCTACTCTATAGTAAGTGGTAACACAAACAATAAATGGGAAATTATAAAAGATACTTCAAATGGTCTTGGCCGCATTAAAATTGCTCAGAGTTTGGATTACGAATCAGAGAAATCATTCACTTTAACAGTTCGAGCGCAGGATGGCGGACCACTGTCCAGTGAGGTTGCTGTGGTTATCGGTATCGAAGGCTACAATGAAATTACACCAAACATAGCCAATAACGTTTTATCTATTCAAAAATCTGAAGCTACACCAATTAACACCGTCATACATACGATAACTGCTGTAGACACGGACGATGGTCCAGACGGAATGAACGGAATGTCTTATTCAATTACGTCTGGTGATACGGAGTATATGGGTATTGACCCCCTAACTGGTGAAATAAGACTCCTCAAAGAACTCGATAGGGAAGCCGCAGCGACTCATTCGGTGGTAATTCGAGCTACAGACTCTGGAACAAATCCAGGACCAAAATTTGGAACTGCCACTCTTACCCTAACAGTTACGGATGATAACGATCAACCTCCAGTTTGTACGCCTGCAGTAATTGCTGTTGAAATTTCTGAAAGCATAAGTCCCGGGGATACTGTAACAAATTTGCAGTGTCAAGATGCAGACGCCAGTCTTAATAATAACAATCAATTATCTTATGCTTTAACGAGTGGCGATATAGCAAAATTTTCTGTTTCTTCAACTGGACAAGTAACTGTGAAAACGGGCAATTCGTTCGACTACGAAGATACTAAAAAAGTTTACAATTTTGAAATAACTGTAACAGATGGGGGAGGTACATCTTTATCATCAGTAGTTATGGTTACGGTTAACATTCTTGGAGTGAACGAGGCAGCACCTGCCTTTACATCAGCACCTTATTCGCAAAACGTGATAGAAAGTACCGCTATTGGTCAAGTTATTCCTGCAGCAATTTCTGCTACAGATTCTGATGATGGTATAGATGGGGAATTTGCTTACTCAATTGCCTCTGGTGCTAACGGAAAGTTTGACATTGACCCAAAGACAGGCGAAGTTAGAGTTATAAATGAACTAGACAGAGAAACCACGGCACAATATATATTGACATTGCACGCAATAGATAAAGCGCCCAGTCCAAATGCGAGAACTGGTTCAGCTACACTAACAATTGATATAACCGATGAAAACGACAATTATCCAGTTTGTTCTAAAAATGTTTTTTATCAAACAATTGCAGAGAATGCCGATAATGGAGATCAAGTGATTGATCTTGGAGCGCAGTGCAGCGACAATGATGACGGTATTAACAAAGATTTAGAATTTACAGTAAATTCAGGAAATACCGACGGTCTTTTTGGTGCTACAACGGCTGGTGTAATTACAATTGCAGATAAAACTAAATTGGATTATGAAACAAAGACCACCTATACTCTTACACTAACCCTGGCTGACAAAGGAACAACACCTAAAACTTTGGCTCTTATCGTTCATGTTGCAATAAGTAATATCAACGAGGAAACCCCCACATTTTTACCTTCTCCGTATTCTGGAAGCGTCGTAGAGAATGATGCCTCTGGAACGTCTGTAAAAGATGTGGTTGCGACGGATGATGATAGTGATCTATTCGGATCACTTACATACAGTATAACCGCGGGAAATACGAATAATGTGTTTGCTATTCATCCAACCAATGGTAGAGTCTCATTAGCAGGGACACTCGATAGAGAAGTAACAGCCCAGTACGTTTTAACAATAAAGGCTGTAGATGGAGCTACAGGAGCTGACCAGAAAACTGGAACAGCTACTCTGAGTGTCAGCGTAACTGATTTTAATGACAAATCTCCATCATGTCCATCTGCACCGTATACAAAATCTCTTCCAGAAAATTCTGCACTAACTCCTGTCATCACAGTTTCTTGTACCGATAGCGATGCGGATAGCCCCAATAATTTGGTAACTTACGCTATTACAAATGGAAATGCTAATTCCATATTTACAATTGATGCGTCGACTGGAGCTATCACAACCACTTCGGTTGCTTTGGACTACGAAACTACTAAATTTCATCAATTAACAATAACCGCAAGTGATAATCCAACAAACGCAGCTGATAAGCGAAGCGCCACCGCCGTTGTTTATGTCGAAGTGGAGCCTGTAAATGAAAATGATCCCCTTATAACTGCACCAACTAGTAGCGACGTGAAAAATGTTAATGAAAATATGGCTGTTGGAGGTGCTGAAATTTTAACAGTTCAGGCAAGTGACGCGGACGAGGGCGTTCATAAACAACTGAGATATTTTATCACGGGTGGAAACAGCGAAAACAAATTCAGCATAGATGAAACCAATGGTAAATTGTTTCTGGCTCAACCGCTGAATAGAGAAGCCACAGCTAATTACGCTCTGATCATAATAGTAAAGGATTCCTTAGATTCTCTTGGAGACGTAAAAACTGCAACAACAACTGCCTCTATAGTTGTTGACGATTATAATGATAATTACCCTGTATTTACACCTGCATCTTATACTGTCTCAGTTGTTGAGACTACTGCTCTGAATACCGAAATTCTAACAGTAACCACCACAGATGATGATTTAGCTCCCAATAATGGACACACTTTTACATTCTTATCGGGTAATGACGATTCAACATTCGATTTTGTCCATGCAACGAAAAAATTACGACTACTGAAACAACTCGACCACGAAACGAAGTCTGTTTACGTATTGAAAGTTGAAGTTGCAGATGGTGGAACGCCTGAATTAAAAGCTCAATGCTGGATTACTGTAAATGTTCTATCAGTTAACGAATTTTATCCAGTTCTATCAGAAGAGACAAACGCTCTAACCTTACAAGAGGATACTCCTGTAGGTACTGTAATCTATGATACTAATGCCACTGATTCAGATACTGGAGCCTATGGTATCATGCGTTACGGTATTGTATCTGGAAATCCTAGCGACTCAACTTTTGTCATGGATCCCGTCACAGGAAAATTGAGCGTCTCCCAAATTTTGGACTATGATACATCACCGAATTCTTATACATTGAATGTTTCAGTTTACGATAATCAAGGAATTATAGTTAGCGGAACGCGTTACGATTTTCTGACTCTTACTATAAATCTCGTTGATGTTAACGACAACTATCCAGTTTTCACACAAAATCAATATTCCGTTGCAATTAACGAGAATTTAAATGGAGGCGTCTCTGTATTTAAAGTCCAAGCTAATGATGCTGATTCTGGTGTTTTTGGAACGGTTGCGTACGCAATTCAAGGCGGTGATGGCGCAAGCCAATTTACAATCAACGCAAACAACGGCGATATCAGCACAATTGCCAGTCCAACTTTAGACTTTGAAGCGAAATCTGTACACAACTTGCTTATTCGAGCAGAAGATGGAGCAAACCCGAAAAAATCTTCATACTGTTCAGTGAGAATAACTCTTAACGATGTCAATGATAACGATCCAATATTTTCACCTACCGACTTCTCTGTGGAAGTAGTTGAAAATCTTAACGTTGGTACTTCTGTAACAAAATTAAGTTGCAGCGATAGCGATTCCTCGGATAATGCAAGATTAACATTTTCTATCGTTGCATCGACAAATGTTGAAAATCATTTTAGATTGACAACAGTCGCGACAAATGAAGTACTCATTGATACGCTTTATCCTCTGGACAGAGAAACGAAAAGTCAGTATGTTCTGAATGTAATTGCAGTCGACGCGGGAACAACTCCCAGAACAGGAACAGCAACAGTGACTGTAAATGTGGGTGATGTGAATGATAACGATCCCTATTTCCTTAATTTACCATATACGAAAAACTTGTACGAAAACACAACTGTTGGATCAACCGTTTTCGACGTTGACGCAAACGATAAAGATAGCTATAATAACGGAAAATTACAATACGAAATTGTTAGTGGTAATACGAACTTTGATTTTACTTTGGATCCAAATACTGGACTCTTTAGACTGGCGAAAGTACTTAATAGAGAGGAGATTGCATCGTACGCTGTCGTTGTTCGAGCGTCTGATTTTGGCTCAACAAGAAGATCCGCAACGACAACCCTTAATATTGTCGTTTCCGACAACAACGACGTTGTACCATCGTTCAGTCAAGGCTATCAATTCAGCGTTCTGGAAAATTCCGCAGGTGGTACTGTTATTGGGCGAATTCAGGCAACAGATGCAGACTTAGGATCGAATGGAGTGGTTCAATATTCTATTCAGCTAACTTCTAAAGGTCCAGCAGGACATTTCACATTGGATTCAGTAACGGGATATCTGTCTACTTCACCTCAGGCAGTACTAGATAGGGAGATAAATGATATGTACACGCTACTTGTAAGAGCAACCGACCAAGGTTCATTATACTCTGAAACCAATGTTCAAATAACAATAACCGACGCAAATGATAATAAACCCGCATTCGTTACAAGCAATTACGTTGGCTATATTAAAGAAAATGAAATTACGTCCAAATCGATTTTACAAGTCAGCGCCGTCGATAAAGATACAGGAAATAACGGAGAGATAGCCTACTCCATTCAGGATAGTAGCTTAACTAATAAATTTTCAATAGACTCCACAACTGGATCACTAACAAATAAGATTGCTTTGGATCGTGAAGAGCAGAGCAAGTATACAATTAATATTTTGGCTGTGGACAGAGGAAGTCCGGCCCTAACAACAGCAACCCCGGTAACTGTTTATATAACCGATGAAAATGATAACGCTCCCAGCTTCAACGGGAAAACCTTCCTTAGTGTAGAAGCTGCCTATAACGAGAAGGCCGATAAAAAGCTGTTTGCCTTCCAAGCAACTGATCCGGACGATGGTCTAAATGGACAAGTCACTTACGGAATAACGGATGAATCAGGCCTTTTTAAGGTGGATCCAACTCAAGGAATTGTGACTTTCCAATCGGGGAAAACTGCAGCTGTGGGTAAAAAATATTTAATTTCGGTAACCGCATCAGATGGGGCAACCCCTTCGAAAGCTGTCAAGGCTCTTGTTAGAGTTGATACTTATAGCAAGACTGCCGTCTGCGTCTCGTTCGTTCTCCAAATGGCTTCTGATTCGTTTAATCAGAAAGTTGACTCGTTTCTGGCAAGTTTAAAGAAAAGTCTTGCCCCTAAATATCCCAACGCCTCTATTCATCAGTGTGGCGAAGCAGTTTCCGGTTCAGTTACAGCGAGAAGAAGATTACTACAATCTTCCTCGTGAGTTTCCCAATTTTTTCAATTGCAGAATAAAGATAATGTCTATTAATACTAATAAAAACGATTTTACTTCAGAACAACTGCATACGTTTACGCTCTAAGTGATTCTAATAGTGATCTGCAATCTAACGTTGACAATCCCAAGAGTTTCATTGATAAAGATGTTCTGTTAACTGCCTGGCGGGGAAACACGAACACTGGAGATCCTAGTTCGTCGATAACTGGATCTGAGTTTTCCGATTACAATATAAAACAGGTTCAACCTTACCCAACGACATCGTCGTCAGAGACACCTTGGATAGAGACGCAGACGGGATTAATTGTGGTTATTTGCTCGTCCGTCGCCGCCTTTATTATACTCATTATTATAATAATTATCGTATCTTATTGCCTCTATAAGAATCATAAGAAACCGCCAAGAGTAATTACACCTATACCGAGAAAGAAGAGTGTTCAGGGTCCTGCAAATATTTTACCCAGAGATAATCTAACAACTGTCGATGTGGCTCCGACTCTTCTAATCCGAGAACCAAATAAGGTAAATCTAATAATAAAAGTCTTTATTTAGGCAAATTAAATATTTGACTTTTGCGTTTGAATTAAAATTTCAGCAAAAGAAAAATATTCCCCCGAAATCGACTAGCTTTAGAAATAACAATACTAGAACCCCTGACGTTACTGAATCCATGGCGTCGACGGCCGAAATTACGCCCACTTTCAACAACGGTAAAGGTTTCGACGGAACGGCTTTTGACCCAGGTAAATAGATTATTTCCATTTGGATTGGTTTTATTTTCTCTTTTTGTGAAAGAGAACAAAGAGAACTTATAGAGTAGAGTTCATTGAAACAATTCGTTACAGACACGGGTAAGATGTACGAATACAATACGAAAACTAACGAGAGAAGATGGGTCTCGTCCTCTGAGGCAAGCCGAAGTACTCATGCTTGAATAAAAATAAATAGAAGAGGATCTCTTCCACATACTATTAACTTTACGTTACTGACTCTTTTTTTCTTTCTCTCCAATAAAATTACTTTTTCTCTCTATGGTGCGCTCTCTTTCTCAATTACTTCTCCTAGTCCCGGTCGTTTTTCTACAGTCCTAAATGCATGACAAACACTTCTCCCTTCGGTTACAATGGCAAAATATTTAATTGCACAAAGATGGCGCCACGCCTATTTAAGAGCGAAAAGTTTATATAGGTTAAAAGAATTAGTGCTGTTTTCGATAGAAAGAAGGCGAACAAAGATACTAGGGATAAGGAAGAGAAATTATGCGAGTTTTCAGAATGAATAGAGAAGGACGAGGATAATACTGTAAATAAATTATAGTAATTAATTAGGGATAACACCGAAATAATTGTAAATGCGATTACGTACCGTTACTAACATCAATAATCTTGTTTATTAATTAATTAAGGAATGTTCTTGTTGCGATTTGAGAAAAGGCTACGAGTACATTCTTGAATTGATTTGCTTCAAGTTCAACAGCGTCTTAACCATTGGACTTTAACGGGTTTTTATTGTAATTTGTAGTTGAAGTTTCTTGCCATCAATATTTATGGGCCAAGTGATTGTCGAGAATTCTCAAGAGTCAAAAAGGACACAGAATAATAAATAAACTTGCCTGAAAAGTTTCAAGGCAGGGTTGGTTGTTAACGACGTCGCATCAACCTAGATTTTTATTGAATTGAAAGCTCATAAAGGAAACTAAAGGTCTAATTAAGGGACGTTTTAATATGCCAAAGCTGCATATTAGAATGCAACAGGATATTAATTAATATTGCAGATAATATCATGACGACTAGGCCTACGGTAGGAAGGGCATCTTATTATTTCTCTATCTATTAGCCATAATCAAGTTATTCTATTATTAATAGGCTTGCGACGTTGGCGGAATATTACTAATTTTTTAGGTTAATTATTAAATTTATTGTGTGGCATTGGATTATAGAGAAAGATGGAAACTAAAGGAAAGTACCAACGCGTATAGACGCTTGTGTTCTTCACCTATCAACCAGATGAAAGGGAAATAAGTAAATCTTGTTGCTTGTTAAAAAAAATTGTATTATTTTGTGTAAATAAAGAATAAATCTGATTGGGAATTTTAGTGGGACAGGAAAAGAGAGCAAGGGGAGCGAAAGGAGCAGGGAAGAGAGAGAGAGAATAGTCGGGAAATCGATAGTTTGTTCCCCCCGTTTCCTTATCATAAATTCTTGTAAAAATTTTATCTGTTGAAGACGGCTAACGTTACTTCTTTAATTAAGCACAAACCCAAATCCATACAACACACACAAACACACACACACACTCTCTCTCACTCTCTCTATTTCTCCCATCCGCTACTCATTTTTTATTCATGCAGCTTCACCTTGTATTTAGCTAACATTAAACTAGTGCCATCTGCAACAATGTTTACAAACAGTACTCTAATACTCCAACTTAAATAGATATATAATAAGATTATATAGGTGTATACAGCACTACATTAAATAATGTAACAATATACTCTTTATGCATTACCTATTTTCAAACTGTTTCGTTATTTTATACTTGCATATTTATCGATCATTTAAGGAGAAACTTTAAGTGAAATTATGTAATAGTCTGCTCGACAGTTTGCATTAAAAAAAAAGCAAAATATTACTGTATCTGCAGAAATATGTTCACGTTGGCGTTTGTCATAAGGTTTCTATACAGTGTTTACAATATGCATGTAAATAGATATACAGTATATACAGTATATATATATATATATATATATATATATATATATACTAATATATACATAAACTGCATATACAGTATTTATATACATGCGTATCATAAAGAGTAATACTATTACTACTATTAGTATAATTATACTAACAGTATATGATCTACATCAAACCAGATAATGTACCAGATATACATCTATATGCGTGTGTACATTGTCTATAAATGTGGAAGTTGGATTGTTTTTATGCTCATAATGCTCACTTTTTGTCTTCTTCTTCCGCAACGGAAGACAGGCTCACTCCCTTATAAATTCGCTTTGCCAGCATACATTCTTAAAATACTTAATGGATGGGTAGGGATGCTGTAGGTAAGAAGGATCATCTAAAGTATTATATTAGCTTTAAAGGGAGTTTCGAACCTAAATCGGAAGAGGTTTAATCAAGGCAGATAAGCTCTTTCTAGATAAAAAACTAAATCTCCTAATCTTTCTTCAATAATAATTGTTCAAAAAGAAATTGGTGATCAAACAGAGAAATCTATTTTTCAGTCTGTTCTCAACCTGCAATCTTTGACCAGCCATATAAGAGAGCAACAACTGACAAAATATAATTGAATCAACAACGCTCGATAAAGATATCATAATAACGAAAGCACAAATCAATAAGATAAATAGAGAATGAGAAGGAGACATGGAGAAAACAGCAGCCATATCAAATTCGACATTCGTATGTTGTTTTCATATTTAGTAAATATAGAAAACAGAGTCGTCTATAAATTAGAAAACGTATCGGTGAAAGAGATTATTTTATAGGCTTTATTCTATCTGAATATAGGAAGAAGAGTCGATTCGATGTCGGTTGATTGAAATATTCAAATACCTATGATATAGTATATTGGAATATATTTACATTTGGGATATGCTATGTTTAGTGGATAGATACATAGTGTATATCAACTTTTGCCCTCTACTCCCGTTGGCCACTCTTCCATAATTGTTTGTCGAGTTCCTTAAAGTTGAAAGCGACCATTGTTTGTCAGGGTTGGGAAAAGAAATTAAAGTGAGAAAAGAGAAGGAAGCGAAATGGATATTTATTTTTATTTTTTATTAGAGTAAATCAACAAATTCACTATTGGAACATCCAACGACTGACGTATAATAATAGATTTCTGCTGCAGTATGTGATTTCTTTTTTTATATATCATTTGTGTATTACACTTATACAGTATTTATAAAAGTAATATTGACAGTTAAATACCCGGGTTTACATCATTTACTTTGAATATAATAGTATATATACTCTGCTATGTGGAGCGGCGCCTTTAATAACAATTATCAACTAGGAATGTTTGTATAATGTATTTTTTCTATTTGTTTTTCGTCCTTTAAACACGAGTATGCAAACTATACGACGGCTCTATAAAGCAAAAGAGTATACGACGGATTTTCAAGACAGTTCCTTCTCCTCTTTCCACTTATTCTCCTTCGCCCCGTTTTCTTTTCTTCCCCCTTTCTCAGTTTGTACGAGGCAACTAAAAGAGTTGCGAAAGGGAAGACAATTCCCTGAAAGAACAAATGGAAACAACCTTGTATCTAGTTGAGGGAGGGGGGAGCGAGAGGGGGAATGAGGTGGGTGGGGGGCCATCAGCTATCTTAAAAAAGTACGAGCTTTTTGCTACAGGCTACTCCAGTACCCAGTTACGGGATTGTGCGATTAATAGTAACAACACACAGGAGTTTTTTCTTCCTCTTCCTCTTTTTCTGCTTTATTATGTGATATTGTAATGGATAATAATATTATTTTTGATCGTTATTATTGTTCTTATTACTATCGTTAGTAGTATTATTAGTATTTGTATCTCTATTACTATTTTGACGTATACATATAAATTATGGCCACATACATGGATGAATGTACAGTATGTACAGTAGTAAATAATTCTTTAGCAATTTATCTATACCGTATTTACTGTCTGTTCTTTTTTTCATTTTTTTCTCTTTTAATTATAGTTTGTTTGTCTATAAATTTGAAGTTTTCCCATCTTAGTAAAGGATAATCAGCAGTTGTTGCAGTAGAATCTCTTTAAATTCAACGTCTTTGGTTAGAGCTCTTATTTGTCAAGTAGAAAACCCAGTAGAACAAGTTAAAAATACCGAACGCCAGAGGAAACATGAACCTGCTAAATCTATCCACTAAGCCTGCTTTGTTCTTCATAGTCTTCGAACAGGACTGAGCGCATACAGCAGTATTCACCTTATCGCCGTCCCTATTTAATAGAATATACAAAAGAGTTAGGTTCATGTGTAAATGTGCGTATACGAGTCTCTAATCACCTTAGCATAAGTTCTGTTTCGGCTTCGTCTCGTCCTTTCGGATCTTTGGCTAGCGATCTCCTCCCCTCACCACCGTTCGCCGCTGTATTTGTATGAACCTGAAAATTGTCAACACGTTTACTTTCCTGCTTTGTAAATATGTTTGTTTATTTCGTATACGTTTCTTATTCTACCATTCACTTAGCGTATTGAACTATATTTCGCGTTTGTATATTATTCTAACGGGCGGCTACAGCGAGAAAGAAAGCGAGAAAACATCTCTGCACGAGAGCTCTAATATCAGCATATCTGCATATCTGCACGTGTACATTTTGCACATAGCAGAATGAAAGGAATAAGGCAAAAAGATTCTGAAGCAAAGTAAAGAAAAGGTAAATTTTCAGAGAAAAAAAAAGTCAGCGAAAAAAAATGTATTAGGCTGAAAAAGAGAACAAAACCAGTGTTCGTTTCTTCAACCGGGAATTGACGAAGCGTTGAAAAAAGCGTTTGTTTGAAAACGGCGGAAGTCGAAAAGCGATCGCACGCAAAGAAATTATCGGTCATGCGTTGGTTTGACGAAAACTGCAACCGACAAACGAGATCTCGAAAAGGTTTGTTGGTATAAGAATTTCGTTAGTTTGTCTTCTTGCTACCGTCTCTCTTTACCTTTTGTTAATTTACTGGGAAACTTGAAAGAAATGCAAAAGACTTACATGTACTTGTTTAACGAGTGCGGCTATCATATTCTCCTGTTTTGGCTTTGCTCTTCTCGCAAGGACGTTGACAAAGGAATATTCAATTAAAGCGCCAAATACAAACACCAGACACATAGCCATCCAAACATCTATGGCCTTTACGTATGACACGCGAGGCATTCTGGCGGCAAAGTTAGAACTCTGCGTAGTCATCGTTAGGACTGTCAACAGTCCTAATGTTATCCTCGCCGGTACGGCATCCGTATCGATCCAAAAGGAGACCCACGACAAAACAACAACCAACAAAGATGGTAAATATACTTGAATGAGGTAATAGTTGACTTTACGCTGAAATTTAAGAATGGCTTCCAGGCATGCGTAGGCTCCTGTTGAAGACATAGAAGAAAAAAAGGCTTCAGCAGAAATTCAAAACGAATCGAAGCAAATGTTAAATTACTACAATTTCACATTCTCATCTACTAAATTTCCTTTTAATAAATCTGCACCGACTAAATAAATTTACCGCCGCTCTCCTTCCTCACTTTATGAATCATTCGAAACCAATTTTTACTGCCATTTCTACCTCTCTACACTCAATACATATACAGAATATATATATATATATATATATATATATATATATTTATATGTTAAGAGCAAACACTTGAAAAGGTTATATTCTAGAAATTTATTTTCGAGGAGGGTTAATTTCCTAGAAGGGTCATTCTATCGAAGAATAGTTTCTACTTTTCCAAATTAACATTGTCCTAAGCGAAAAGGGAAATGCTATGAAAGGGTGATATAATGTAAGCAACGTTAATCTAAAAAAAGGTAGGATGATTCCACGCTCTCATTCATTTTTTAGCTACAATTCTTGTAAATATTCCATCCGATAATAAATAATAGACAACGGATGTCAGATTAAGTTGAACGGCGAACAGAGCGAACCAGGGCAAAAATTGAACAAAGAAATCAACATAGAGAGATGGACAGATAGAGCTAGTTAATCAGTTAATAATATTGAAAGAGGTTGAATTTCTCTAGTCCGAGGGAAGGATATTATAAAATTGAAATAGATTCAAAGCATTCATTATAACTCTGGTACGGTAGACCAAGCGGAAATAATTAAGGAATTCCTACATAATATTAAATTTTAATATAACTTAGACGAGTCAACTGTTCACCGCAATGCATGGAATAAACATTAAATTTAGCATTCAAATAAACAAGTTCTATAGGAAGTCAAGGTCCTTGGAGATAATTTTCTCCCCGAAAAATAAACTCTCAAGTATTCTTTTTTGTCGATATTGACTTTCTGTCTCGATTTTTTTGTGCTTTTTCCTTCTCCCCTTTCCTCCTATTTCTCATTCTCTGCACTCTTTCTCGCTAATCGTTCGAAGCAGATTTGTTTTTTGCTTTCTATAGGTTATCTAAGAGGGACCTTTTCGAATACGACACCCCAGAGATACCCGATTAGGTTGTCTAACGCTTTCTCGTTAGGTAAACTATTAGCATATTTAGATACATCTTTTATACAGACATCTATATTACATAAGACGAACAATGTCGTCCCAATGGTAATTGTTAAGCCATTGGCTTTTTTCCTTGGTACAAGATAATAGGATGAGGAATGATAATAAGTCGGCTTTTCCCACCTAGGGAACCCTCGTCTGGATAGCACTTTGAAACGATATACAGCTTTAATAAACCTATTAAAATTCCGATAGCGTACTGCCGTGTCTGGGAAATGGCTGGAAGGGGCGTCTATTTCAGGAGGAAGCAGCGGGGTGAATTAATTCAAGTTGTGCTTTTTCTCTATAATTTCAAATTACCACACACTGCTGCATATGTGAATTTGCTCGAAGACATATAGAACGCTAAGAGGTAGGATATTATGATAGATAAAAATAAAGGTCATTTTCTCCTCATCTTCACCTCCTTAGCTGAGACCAATAAGATGGCTAACAAGATATATCCTGCTATATTTTTGTGCCTACATTGCTTCTATAATGTCTATTTGTTTTCTTTATTATTTTACTACAAAAGAGTAATAAACTTAAGGAAAAATTTAAATAAATAATTTACTTGACAATTGCACGCAGTTCCATTGCGGTTAAGCGTTAATGAAAAAAAAAATGCTCGTGTGACGAGCCACGCCTCCTTGTCCTCTACTCCTAGCCTGATTACGTCGAGAGAGAGAGCGAGAGAGAAGGAGAAAAAAGGTCATTACGACGAATACAAGTGGTCATAGTCACACAAATTTGGTCATTTCTCAACGCCCAAAGTCTAAACACAAGCTATACGCGTCTAAACACAATTGAATTGCGAAGATTTATTCTCCTATACATACAATGTACTTTGCGGCGGACGCGTACGCAGATAATCAGCTTAAAAAAATATGGTATAAAATACACAAGTATATAAAGTATATATATAAACAAGTAATATTTGTAGATATAAGTACCTGTCGACGTTCCAGACGTGCAGTAACGACCGCTAATTTCAAGCAATTCAAATTCAGGTGGTTTTAAGCCTTCGGCCACAGCGGTAGCGTTTCTTTCGTTATCCCAAAGAATTTCCAGATCCTTTAATGTATGAGCGTCTGAAAGAATTTAACAACCCCATTAATCCACTCACTTGTACAATAAATTTTAGTCGCCTCGTAAAGTCTGTTTCTTTTTAACCCGTTACAATTGTATCGGTGAAAATCTAGTAACGATAAGATGATATGATATTTCCAGTAAAACCTATCAATTATTCCTATTCCTACAATTGAGTCAACTATTGCAAATATATCATCTACGTAATGGATATTATACTTTTTTCTGGCTTTCTCACTCGTTTTCACAGAGAACAGATAAAATTCGATATTCATTTAAAAACATACACCAACCATACACAATTATTTATAGAACGTAAGGTAAAGTCAAACATATTGCGTATTATAAAGCAAATAGATGCTAGAATTGGCGTCTGAATAAGGCCAATTTCCAACAAATTGCTCCTCTATTATTAGAACAAAAAGGAAGAGCAGCGTAAATTTCTTTTCTCTCTTTTTTTAATTAATGTAAATAGTCAACCTCTCTCTTTATCACGTCTTTTTTTTGATAGCTATTACTCAACGGGTTGCTTTCTCAAAATTATCATTTTCAATTAACTCCTTCACTCGCTTCCTCTCTTTGTCTTCCTCTCCCTCTCATTGTATTTATCGCAAACTCTATTTGGTTGCGTATCGCTGTAGTTTTTACGCTTTTCCTTTCAATCCCTCCCACTTCTCTCGCTCATCCTCCCTGCCTCGCCTATTCTTCGCTTGTCTAGATACTGTCTATACTCGTCATTTGTTATAAAAATTGAGTTGTTTTTTTTCTCTCTCTCTCTCTCTCTCTTGCCCTCGTTTTAATTTCCCCGGTCCCCGGTTCTTCCTGTATTCTTTTTTGCAGGTGGACTGCATGATTTAGTCATCCCTAAACGCTGTTTATCTAGTTTGAAAACTTTCTCGAGGGAACAACAACTTTTTCTCAAAGTTGATTTGCATGATCTCATTTCATAGCAGTACCATAAGTTATTTGACAAGTTTGAAAATAAGAAAACGACACTTTACTTTAAGTAAAGCTACGAATTCCAATTGTTCTAACTCTTGCTCAGAACAACGGAACGAGTATAGAAAAGAAAACGAAACCGAAGCGTTAGTGAGCCGGCTAATTAGAATATTAAGAGTAAAAGTTGGTGGTTGATAGTTGTGGGGTAAATGTCAAGCCATTTAGCGTTTCGTGTTTCGTAGATCACCTCAGACGATAGGACTGCAGAGGACAAAGCAACTTTGTCTACTATTTTGACTTTTAAAGCTTTTTTTTTTCTCTTCAAATGACTACTTGGCAAAAAATAATTGTTGAAATTATACTTACAACTGGCGAAGACGAAATTACACGTTTGATTATCAAGAGGAAAACGAGCCAAATCCAATTCGCATGCTAATGTCAAGCTAAGTCTTTGACTGTACAAAATATTGCCATTAGGGTACAAACGCAACAATCGATTCGGTAGCACTAAATCATGTAGTTTGCCGTCCTTTTCATTCTTAATAAATACATCGGGAATCCAAAGCTTGGAAAATTGTTTGTGCGACAGAGTATAACTGCCATTTTCGTATCCCTTATGATGACCATAAGATAGACGAGGTTCATTCCACCGGAGTCGAAGGTAGATATTGACATTATAATCCTGTAATGTAAATAAGTAAATGGAATTTCATTTTAACCTTCTATTCGATCACTAAATCGAATTTTTTTTTTTTTACAAGCAATCAAATCGACCATGTAACGAAACGGGTAAATAAAGTGATCTTGTTTAGTTTGCTATATTTTTATTTACACTTCGAGGATCAATATATACAATTTGCGGCCACTTTGTTATGTTGAGAGAGGAAATAAATAGGTGATATCTAAAAATAATTCAAAATAATCTACTAAAGAGCAATTGCAAGGAATTTACCCTAAACATTTCGCTTTTTTTTCCCTCCAACCGCCATCTAATCCGAATCGCTTTAATCCTAATAAATTATCTTTTGCAGTGGAGTAAAATATATATATATATATATACACTGTACACATACTAATATATATATATATATATATTTGGCTGTAATAGAATACATTACAGTTAACTGCATGAATAGGAGACGCCTTATAAAATATCCCGCGATAGAAGGTTAAAAAAAATGCTATGTGTACAGCAAAGAACACTGTATAAGATCAAAGTAAACTAATATGTATATCTATTTATCCATATTTTATGCCAGAAGCAATTTCTCGATACGCAATCTGCAATCAGCTGCAAAATACAGTTAGGCAACGGAATTAGTGTTGCAAAAATCTTTTTTTTTGACGGTTCTCGTATGTTGTTTATTGATAATCTTTATATTTCATCATACGATCCAACTTACGTTAGGATATTCCCATTTGCGTCCCTTTTCAAAGAATTTTCTAGTATTGTATAGAGTGTATAGTATAGACGGTTTCAAATCCTATTCAAAGTGGGAAAATAGGAAATAAGGAGAAGCGAAAGGCGAGAGCTTTTCTTTAGGAATGCGAAAAATACCGGAGAAAGAATTCAATTGTTTAAACGCAATACTACTTATTAGAATATATATATAGAAGGCTATTGAGCGTAATCGCATACGCGCGTGTATATTCGCAAATCAATCAAAGCAATCAAAGCATGCAATTCTTAAATAGACTTTCTCGCCTTGCTCAAACATTGTACATTGTACATGTATAGAAAAAGTGCACTATGTTAATAAATTATAATATTTCATTGTATAGTCTTTCAGTTTACACTAAACTCTCCGTATAGTGTCTATAATACACTGTATATGCTGTATGCTATCTGCGAAAATATCATTGCCCTCAAACCGTTTGTACTTGCTGCTCCTCTCCTATCCTCTCCCCTACTCAAACACTCTGGGCTCTTTTGTTAATTTGTCAATTTTTGTTTTCGTCTTGAACACCTTTCGCCTCATCTCCACTATACTGCCATACGTTCAATGGCCTCGAATTGAAAATCCAATAATCGCTTTCCCGCAACCTATTAAGCCTATAATAGATATATTAACTCGGTATAAATAAATCATCGGTTGCTAAGAAGCGGATTAATGTTTAACATGTATCGTTAGTCTGTTAATTAGCAAATTATAATTCAGAAAAGGAGTCACCTGCTTTCTTATTTTTGTCTTTTCTGATAAAAACACCAAAGGATGCTTATAGTTTTTTTTTTTTTTTTCAGTTTTATGGACATCTTCTCGTCTTTCAGTCGATAATCAGATGGATTAGCGGCTAGGAAACTTCAAACCTACACTAATTAAACAAGCAATCGGGCGACACGCCAAACTATTTTTCAATAAACCAACAACAAACAGAGACGCTGGAAAAAAAAAAAGAAAATAGGCGCAATAGTAAAACATGAATAGGCCTATTGGGCCGGAATACGACTCCTAGACAATATTTATATAAAACTTAATTTCATAGTCGACTGCGTCGGATTTTAATGGTGAATTAAGTAGGCGTCTACTATATAAAATAATTCCCTATTTTATCAACCGGAAGGTGTCTCCGATGATCGGAAAGTATGGTTAATTTAATAAAAATTGTCATCTTCACCTTAAAACCGAAATAGACGCCCTCCTCCATTGAACGAGGCAAAAAAAGCGGTTTGCGACGTTTTTGTTAGGCAGTCTGAGGATTTCTGATGCGATTATTTCTAATGTTTCAGCTAAAATTAGATTTACTATTTTTCGACATTTTGGCAGAACGTCTATTTTTTTATGGCTCTCCAAACGCTTAAATTTATCACAATTGAATAGAATCGAAGCGAAGGCGTCACCGCCGCTTGCTCGCAAATCCGGGCTAATTCCGCCCAATAACTGGAATAACATGTATTCTATTACGATTTTTTGCCAAAATCCCGCCCAATAACACGAAACGCAGCTTACATATTTCCCGCGTCTATTTGTCTCCGATTATTCCCTCTTTAAAAAGAACGCTACTTGTTTTCCAGTTTGCTAATTATAATCGCGTATTGCAGATAGAAAAACGAACGCTATTTTTCGTCTTCAAAGAAAATTCTAAGAATAGTTTATTGATAAGGTGTTACCTCACGGCCTTCGCAAACGTCGCTCTAGACGCTTTAGGAATGCATTTACTTATTTATAACGGTTAATAAAACCCTTATTACCGCTGTTGTCTTGTGTCTATTATTCGTATTCTTTCACCAATATATGAAAAGTGATAAGTTAGAGCAAATCATGTCCAACGAGTGACGTGTGTATGTTTTGCTTATAAGCAAATACCTAAACGTATATATATATAATACGCTTAATTAGACGGCTGTAGAACGTGACAATTTTCCGATAACTATAGCCTCTTGACATTAACCAGAAAATAGGTAGGAAAAAAATAATCTTTATTTAGGTAAGTAGACTATGTTTGCATACTCTTCCGTTTGTCTCAGCTGGAAAATTTTTAATGGCCCAACATAGAAATTCAATTCAAATAGGCCTAAATTTAATAATTGAAGTATTTCCCTCCAAACGTTTAGTGTGACTAGACATTGGCTAAAAACAATCAGGTAAATAGAATAAGAGCCTATTAACAAGCTCGCTTAGCGTACGACTAACGCTCAAAGGCGTCTCTAAGGAGACGTAGACGAAGCTAACCGATAAAGAGACACAGACGCCTCCTTTTCCCAAAGATACTGTTTAGTGAAATCCCTGTGAAGTTAATAATTATAACTATGACAACAGCTAAAACAGGAGAGAATAAAACAGACAGTTAGTCAGTCAGTCAAAAAAAAATAAATAAAAAGAAAATAATAAAGCGAATAGGAATTTTATGATTTTATTCTCGTCTCATATTTGTTTCTTGCTTTGTCTTGTTTTCTATTATCTTATTTTGTCTCCTTGTTTTTAAACTGTACCGAATATTTGAGAAATCGAAAGTCATCTATCCTTTTAGTTTTCAATTCTTTAACGACACAATAAGAAAATCATTAAAATTGAAACACAGCTAAAGGACGCCTAATTGCCTTCTCAATCTCCTATCCTTTCTTAACCGTACAACGCTGGGAAGATGGCAACGGTACTTAAGGAAAGAGAAAAGTAGAATATTGATTCTCTCCGAAAAAGAATTCGTCTTTATTTTCATCTCTTTTTCAAAATACAGAAAGAGGGACTCTTATGATTAATTTCGTAAGCGGAACTTATTTTTTTTCTTTCTTTCTCAAAAAGAAGATGAAAGCAAAAGGAAGAGACGCTATCGTACCTCTCTACTATTTATCTTTATAAAGACGGTAAGAGAGAGAGCGAGGGAGCGAGCGAGCGCGTAAGGGAAGGGAGGAGTGTAGATTTATGAAAATTCAATATTTACTCTATTCAGAACTGTTATGCTCTGAAACAAAAAATGTCAATAGGCTGAGCGACAATCAAATATACAGAAACGTTAATTATTGCCGTTTAAAAATTCCATCAGTCGACTTGATCATGTAGTTTGTGTCAAACGTACGAATGGGTACAAGGAAACGCTTGTAAGAACTAATAGGGTATCGAAAGTCACGTGACGCGATCATTCACCACTAAAAGCGAGTTGCCGAGTGATAGACACAATCTCGAATACGTTTTTACTTTTGGCGTCAAAATTCTGATTGGTTTCTCGAATATTTCCACACCAAAACCGCGAAATGGGTATCTAATTCTGAACGAGAAAAGGACTAGGGCGTGGAAAAAGCAGCGATAATCAATTTAGATCGATTTTGTTTGTCATAGCGCTTTTATCAGTAATAAACAGCCCACTTACCATCGACACTTCTCTTAAAGCTGACATTGAATTTATCCTGAAATTCAAATAGCACTTGACTGGCTGATCATTCTCAACATTTGGCCGAATTTCTCCATCGTACTTTTCCGCAAACAATTTACTGACAATCTTATGAAGATCGCTGGCATTCGACTTTAGCCTAAAGAGAGTAGAGAAAAAGAAAAGTAACAGTAACGACTCTGCCCGCTTCGTTTCATTATTAAAGACGGACGCCTTGAGAAAGAGCGATAATATGAAATGTAAGTTTTTACTTCGATGGTAGTACCAATCCGACTATGCTGAGAAAGATAATTTGCAGGGTTAGCATCGTTGTTTCGCCTCTTGTCGTTCGTCTACAACAGAAGAGCAGAAGTGTGATTAGAATGCATGGAATAGCGCTATTTACCTTTATTTAAACACAACTTATTTACTTTAAGCAAACTTTAATTGCGGCTCTCACCCAACATATTACAGATAAGCGATTGAATTTCAAGTCGTTCTTTTTTTCTTCTTTTTATTTAAAGAAGAGATTTAGCGAGAAAAAACCCCCCTAGAATTAATTACAAACTCGCCCAAACCTACCTGCTACGTCACGTCTATCATTAGCTTTTTACGGGATCGACTTGCTTCTAGTCGTGTTTCTTTCAAGCTTTTTAAGTCACGACGTTCTCTCAGGCGTCTATAAGGACGCTCGAGAGCTGGATTGGCGTTCGATATACGCCCTATACAAAAATAGGCCTATTAGTTTGCAGATCAATCCCATATTGTTTGTCCAACAGATGCTTCTGGCTGTCTTTTTGTTGAAATGTCTATCAAATTTTTCTCACATATGACGACTTTATCGATCTAATAGCAGGTTGTGTAAATTTTTTCATCTTTCCATTCTTTACACGGGGTTTCGATGATTTCACTTGATAGTTTTTTTTGTTTGCAATTCATTCAGTTTGTTTACGTCTTTCAATGGTACTTTACAAACTCAATAAGAGTTATAATACTTATAATAATAATCGATAATCAATAATTAATAAATTTAAGATTATATTTCGCCAGATGAAATTTTCTCTTCTATATAATGTGATAAGTATTTCTCTTAAAACTTCTTTCATTCTCTCTTCCTTTCTCCTCTTATTCTTTTCTTCTCCTTCTCTTTCTCGTTCTTTTCATTTCTGTTCTTAGTCTACTTTCTGATTTTTTAAGGGAAAACATTCATTCATTTACTTCTCGTCTCAAAATCGGATATTTTTACGAGTTTTTTCCCCCTCCCATCCCATATTCGAAATAACAACTACTCGATCCGAAGTGTATCTATCTCACATCGTTCGTTATTTAACGTTTCTTATTTTAATAAACAATAGATTGTGCTCTAACATTTAGGAAGGTTTTTTTTTTTAAAGAGTTGAAAAAAAATCAATAAATCGGTTTCTATATACCGTACGATTAATAGTAATAGATAGTTGATAGACTGTAAGGGAGGGGGAAAGGGGAGAGGGACCTAAATCAATACCTATAATTACGTAATTGGGGGAAAGGAAAAAATTCTCCAGAAGAGGAGAATCATTCTTCGATCCGCTATGTTAAATGTTTGTCAAGGGGCGAGAAATGAATAGACGGAGCTGACAAATCAATGATAGGAAAGAGAAAAACAAATCGATTTCGATTGGTTGAAAAAGTTGGTAGTTCTTGGAAACCAAATGGAAATTAATTAAATGCTTAATGCGACCAACAGAAAGCGGCGAAAGTATATAGCTTTGTTTCATTTAAAATAAATGAGGTGGGCGGCTTAATGAAAAGGAATTCACAAAAGATGCAAATTGGTGAAAATTAACTGACAACACCTGCATATGAATTAGATCGAACCATGATAAATCAATGTCTCTTCGGAGCTGATCGAAGTTTCTCATGCCATTGTGCTGATTGAAGTTTCTCGTCTTACGTGAAAGTCCTCCCTTCAATATGTTTTACAAAGACGTCAGTGCGGTGCCGAGCATACCACCGTAATAGTGGGATTTTTTACAGAATTATGATTTACACTCATAAAAGAATTCATTTAAGACGAAAATAAGCTGTCGGCCTTAGGCTATGAGGAAGCCCAGCGGTTTTTCTCAAAAGACATTTCAGCACGAACAGCGATGGTTTGACAAAAAAAAACAAATAGATAAAAAATAGAAGAGAGAGAAGGGGGAATAGAAATAGGGGGAAAGGAGGAACGAGGAAGTGTTGACGAGTGAGATGGAGATAGAGACATTTGGCCCGCCCTGTAATTATCAATGAACAATCTCGCAACGGGTGTAGCTTAAGACAAACTCAACAGAAAAAGCATACTTAATGTCACTTGATGCGACTAGATTAGACACCGTCTACTTGTTTGTTATAGATGCATCTAAAAAGTTTGACAACCTATCGATTTTTAGACGGATTAAAATTGGTTTCCCTGGTTTTAGTTACAAACTTTACTTTACTCTCAACAATATTTACTTTCTTCACTTTAAAAGCCGCATTGCTTATATATATATATATATACTGTATATATATATATAATCTATTAATATTTCCATATAAATTTATATATATATATATATATATAATATTAATATATCGTTTACTCGTCAACCAACCAAACCGCTAGTATTTAATCGCACTTAAATAATCGTGAAAAAACTACGTTTAACGATAACAAACAATTCGGTTTATTACTCACCTAAAAAAGGAAAAAGTTTAAAGTATGCCGCAAGTTCGCCGCTGTTTAACTGACTACCTGGGAAAAAAAACGGCGCCAGTTGTACTGCAAAATAGCGCCGTCTCTTCTTATTGGCTGTATATTTTTTTTCTGCGGATTAGACGTCTGTTTAACGTTTCGTGATAGAACAGTATATATTTTTTCGAATTAGCGTATGTCACAGACAAAAAAAAAGCCCGGTCTATATAGTCAGTCTAGCCTATTCGAATAGTAGATGATGGTCTTTGTCTTGTATCGATTTCTAGTGAGATTGACAGATACCGAATAATTACTTGATAGGCGTAGAAAAGACAATGCAAATGAGTGAATAGGCAATGAGAAGACGAAAGAACGCTATAGAAAAATAGAAGAATAAAAAAATAGATATACAGTATATCTGGAATTTGTGCGTGCAAGTTTAAAAACTGTAAATCATATTCTTCCTTCCGCTGCCTTTTACTTTCTTATCAAAAAAACCAAATGAATGATTGAAAGAATTTTGCAAAAAGCAGGTGAAGGTTGTTAAACACGATAGAAGTAACGTAGAAATTAATTTATTAACGCATCTTTCTTCATCGTATTACCTCTATCAACTTTTTTTCAGCTTTTTCATCTTTATACCCTTTTTGTCAATGATAAAAAAAAGAAGATTTATATCATGCAAACTCAAGCTCGTCAAGACATCGACTCTACGAATCGCTTTAATTAATTTTAATTTATAAGTGGTTTTTAATCCGTATCACCTATTTAAATATAATTTTTTTTCGCCCTATTTCTTAATAATTGATCAATTAACATTCAATAATAATACAAATCAATTCTCGCAATTTTCTACAATTCCAACAGTTATTATCTATCACGTTCGCGGCTTCAGCACAAAAACAAACTACAGTGATATGAAAGCAAAAAGCGTGAGTGGGTGGTCGTCACCGCCCCTAGTATAATAGAAGAGTACTATTATTAAAAGATACTTTCTCCAAGAAAGGAATTTTCCCACTTTTTCCCCTCTTCCCTTTATTTATCTCAACCATAGTCAACTCAACTGATATATTCAATATCAGAATAGTAACTAGACGTCATTGCTATGACGCAAACTATTCCTTTTTTAAATCCCTTTTTCCACCAGGTGGCCGCTGCTCGTTCAAGAGAAAAACTAAAAAAGCTAAAGCAAAGAACAAAGACTAGAGAAGAATAGACTTTAGTGTTGTTTCATTTTCAATTTTGAATCATGTTTCTATCTGTTTGTTTGCTTTCCCATTGTTATTATTATTATTGTGGTTGTTGTTGTTGTTTTGTCTATTTACTTGTTATTGAAAAGTTGTTGTTTATTGACTCGCTTAAGAGGCCATCTAACGGGTTGAGGAATCGATCACCTATCATCCGGATATTAATGTATAATTTATACCCTTTCTTGATTACATCCGGAAATCATTTGCATATCATCTTGAATGAAAAGAAAACTAACTGAAATTGATATACACCTAAAAGACTAAATCCTCGCCAATAGAATCGTCCATTCAATTATACAAACACGGCAAAATACTACACATATTGTACCGCCACCAACATCAAATAATATCGAAACATATAAATGAATTGCCGGTGGATAATCAACTTAAGAAAAATAGATTTCCTTACTAAGAGGTATTACGCAATGCTGTTTGTGATATCACTTAATGAATTGTGTGAAACGAGCTAAAAAAAAACCTTGAAAAGGTCCAATAATTATTCCCCAATGTAATATAGTGTAATAAGTAGCTGCTCTAAATTTCGTTTCAAATTTCGGTTAACTGATTTCAATTCCCGGTAAGAAAGAAAATTACATTTGTACGGTAAGATGATTTATTATAGATTGTCAGAAAAAAAATTATTAAATCAAGGGCTCTTTTTCAAAGTAAACACCATTTTCTATAGAGAGGAGGAGAGCATTTGTTAGGAGCAAAATTGGGCGAGTAGAACCGTAGAAAATAAGTATTGGGTGTTTAACTGAGATAAAAATGTCAGCTAAATATTCCTGTTTAACATTAAATTCGATTGCCTGTAGAAAAAAAACAGGCTATCTACAGTATATATATATATACTGTATATATACTGTATATATATATATATATATATATCTATTCGATGATCTAAGAATAGACCATTTATTAACACTATAGCCAAGTAACGCCTTTCTTTAACTGAAATAAGGGGACAATACATGACCTTCCTGTATTGAAATAAAAACAAACTGGAGCCTTTCTTTACTCTGTATGTAGTTATTATTTTCTTCTATTTCTCATTGACGTTAAATTGTTGCAGTTGAACAACATCGAATATAGAACTTTTATAGTCTGAATGAATAGTGTATAAAGATTGTGCAAACAGGGCAGTCTAATTTGCTCATTTACGTCACATCCTCAGAGCATATAAGTGGAAAAATCAATGCGTCAAAGAGCAAATTTCAACTATATATTTTGCAGTTTTGGCGTAAAATCTATGCCGCAAAAACTAGCGTTGAGTAAGGCCACTCAATAAACTGCAAATGTTTGTTCAAAGCCCGACCGATCGAATCTGGGAATGTTCAAATGATAGTCGAATCGATTATCCTATAGAGCAATTTCTCCTTGCTCGCCCTCTCCTACTCCTCCTTTCCACCTTTTCTGCATCTACAATGGGTGTAAAAGAAGGCGCACTTAACCTTTACGTCAAGTGATGAAAAGAATGTCAAACGTTTACAATAAGTCATTGCTGGATGCAAACACGTTTTGTTTATCTTTGCTGTTTGTCAACTAGGGTAAGATGAGCAGTTCTCCTCCTCCTTTGTCACCATAATTCCTATTCCCGAATTCTTTGCCGAATTTTTTTTTTGCTGAAAAATACATTAAAAGGCGAATAGGTGCCTTATCTCTCATCCTATTAGAACAGTTCCTTTCCCTTGCCAGTAATTTCCATCCACTTTCTCTATCAACTTTCTTTATTAGTTCAATGAGACGTTTCCTCCTATTCCCAACTAGTGCGTGTCCACTAACAGTGCTAAAACTAATTAAACACCTACGAATATTGCCTGTGTAGAGTTTATAATGAAAATATATACTATCATCTAATTTTGTTGGTGAAAGGTGATTATTTACATCTATACGTCTCCTATTAAAAAAAGAAAAGTTCTGTTTTTCTTTTTTCCTAGGGTTCTTCTCTTATTATTATTTCATTTAAATAGAACACGTAATTTTTTTTGTCGATCATTAATTAGAAGAAAAATATGACAAACAGCGAAATGTCGGTTTCTCTCTCTGTCTTTCTGTTTCATTCTTTTCCTGTCTTTCGCTCGCAATTTCTTTATATTTAAAAAATTGTTTTTTGCACTCGCGTCTCTAAAATTTTTCTCTCTATCTATCTATCTATCACATTTAAAAGGATACGTTCGATTACATCAATTGGGGAGTGTTAAGATCAACTCTGAAAACTTTTCCTAAATCCGGTTTTTTTTTACCTCATTCTCATCGATTGTCGATGCTGGAAAAGAAGGAGCAAGAACTCTATTTTCATCAATAATGGTAACAATTTTAGTTTGGTTAAAGATCCATTCTTCAAATCAAACTATCTATTATATTTAATTTCATTTTCTCCTTTTATCCACTCCATACTTTTCTACTCTGTTTTTAGATTTACTTTTTGCCTGCCCTTGATCTTATTCCCTCCTACTCTCATTCACCACCCCTCTCTCTATCTCTCTCTCTTAGCTTTGTCTTTGTCTCTCCGTTCTTTTTTCTTCTTCTTCTTTCACACACACACACACACACACACACACACACACACACACACACACACACACACACACACTCTCTCTCTCTCTCTCTCTCTATCTCTCTTCCACTTTACTCGCTCAATCTCTTTACTTTCAATGCTTTTAGATTCTATAATAAAACAGGGGTCAATTTAAAGAAACGCTCTCTACTATATTTAGACGCTTTCTACCATGTTAAATTACAAAAATGGTTTTTCATTGGCTATAGACTGGCATTAGCTGGAACTTTTCAAATACAAATATGAATAGATTGTACGATTAAAAAAATTAATCATCTTTCTGACAGGAGCACGATAAAAAAAGAAATAGTGAGAGAAATCATAGAGATATTCCACCAACTCCTAGCTCCTTCCACTTTCTCGCCAACCGTCTAGTGTATGTTCTCTCATCAAAGAGAAGGATAATGGAAGTGCAATTCTTGCAAGCGCGTCCTTTAATCGATTTTTTTCTTAGCAAAAAAAAGGGCAAGTCCGATTTGATTTCATTCCAACTTATAGGCCTAAAAAACGCGTTCTAAGTTTTTCTAGTGTGATCTGATTAACCTAATTTTTTCAAACCAGATGCGCATTGTCATCAAATGAAATTCTTTCAAAAAGCGCCATCTACCGTCCATTAAGAATAAAGAGTTGAAATATTGGTAAATAAGCAAACTGTGCGTTTATGAGTTGAGGGGAAAAAAGAGACAAATTGAAGAGAGAGGAAGTGGAACTAAGAGAGAGGAAGATAGAGACAGAGAGAGACGGAGAGAGATAGAGTGACCGAGAGAGGAGGATGAGGGAGAGGACAGAGAGCAAGAGGAAGTAGGAGAGTAAGAAGAAATGAATGGGCTTTGGGCGACGGTTGGATTAAATGTACGCAATTACTTTTGCAGCATGTCCTGAGGCTGTATTTTGTTTGTTTACCGAGATTATTAGATAGTCAACCTAGTTAATTAAGAGAAAGACAAATCAAGAGAGAAAGAGGGAAACTACAATGAGGATCGACTTTTTCTCATAGAAACAAATGAATATTTACTGTTATATAGTTTTCTTCTAATCTAAATTAAGTTTCCTCAAAGTTAATGACATTCGTGACAAAGAAAAGAAAGGAAAATAAGAAAAACGAACAAATAGTTAAATTGTTTACTCAATGTATATCCAATCTAAATTAATTAAGTTGTAAAATGACTGAAAATTAATTCACTTTGCCGTAATTTATCAGTCGTTGCATCTATATTTTTGTAAGTGGCGTCACTTAAAGTGATCGTAGCCAGTCTTAAATCGGCATTGATTTGTAGGCCTGAAACTAGATAGAGAGTCTTTGGTATTCCCCATTAACCAAATCTTATTCCGAAGCGTAATTAATTCCAAATTATTCCGATCCTTTCTTCCATCAACTTTTAATCAGTTTGAAAACAAAAACCGAAATAAAAGGCAAACTTTTAGAATACTCAATGTTTCACTTATAACAAATAGAAGAATTAACAGAATAGCACAATTACAGTTGGGTTAGTTCGGTTCATATCTATCATAATAAATTATACAATAAGAGGACATATCGTATAATTTTAACCTATACATTTCCTTTAAAATAAAAGCATATCAATTAGACGCTATATTATACTGTTCAAAAGACAGTATCGATTCATTCTCTGATAAATAGATAAAGAAGACGAAATTAATCGAACAAATTCATAAAATTTATGCCTTCTTTATTACAATATAATCGATAGATGATAGTGTGGGCAGTAGTCTACACTTTCAATATAAACCTTTCATAGCGCAAATAGGAAACCATTCGATAAGGTTAAAATTTGTTTTTTCAGTTTGGGCAGTTCTCAATAAAAGAGAAACTTCCATCAATTATCGAATTATGGTCGTACCCTGATTAAGCTAGACGTTTTATTAAGTGTATTGAATTGATTTCTGAAAATAAAAAAGACATATAAGAAGTTGAAGGAGGAGAGAGAAGCTTTCGTTAAGTGTCATTAAGGAAAGCTCCGTGCCAAAGAATAAAGACTATTGGAAATCTGATTAGAATTTATTCGTGATGAATTCAAATTGATCCTTAATTTTTTGAGACTAAAATTTTCTTTGGTGAAAATAAATTGCATTAAGTTCTATAACTCATTAGTCTTTGCAGTAGAGGATACAACTACCTAGTCAACAATGTAGTATCGTCTTAATCTACCAGTACAACTATTGTAGCGCTTAACCAATAGATGGCGGAACCGGCTTACAATTCATACGTACGATATGTTTACGTTTTGCAAACTGTCGTGAAAATTTCGATAGAAAATTACCAGGAAACAGATTGTTGTAATAGACGCTGGGCCAAATGGATTATCGTTTCTTTCTGCTTTTAAACAAATCAATCACAATATCGAGATTAGACGCTTCGAGCGTCAAGCAGATATTATCAATATTGGTAGCTTTAGGAATATTACGTAGACGACTGGATTAGACAAAAGTGGCCTCCCTATTCAGGCAAGCATGTATCGTTATGTTTGGAGTAATGGCCCTAAAGAGTGCCTAGAGTTTGCTAATTATGCTTTCGGCGACCACTTCAAAAAGAGACCATCATTTCCTTCCCTCAACGGCCAGTTCTTCGGATTTATTTGATCGGAAGGGCTGACAAGTACGACTTAAGGGCTTACGTCCGCCGCCATGCGAACCTTAGTATATACGTATTTCGAGGAGCAAAAAATTCCAAATGAGAAATCGTGCATAAAATATTTGATATTTGTAGTCATTTACACTGGTCATTTTTAAATATCTAACCTATCGACTTTTCAAACTTTCCACACAATTCCCCTAAAGGATTTTCTACAGTCACGATTCTCAATACGCAATTGATTTCAAGCAGTGTACGTAGGATCTTCGCTAATTATCTGACAGTGTCTTAAATAATCAATTTCTCCTTCCAGCCAACCCAGAACGTTTCTCTTTCGTTGTCTGTCTACCTTCGGTAGACGGCAATACTGTTTTAATTATCGGATTCGGTTGTTCGTCGAAAATTATTGCTTTGCAATTAATCACATTTGGTGTGAAATCGGTAACTATTAGCTCACGAAAGAATAATTTACATACATTTTAAATGTCTGAACAGTATCGATCCAAAAGAAATATTGGTATATTGTCAGCGAGCGATTCTGTTCAAGACGAAACTAAAAATTATTGTAAAACCTACGGTAAACCTTTTTACGAAATATCTGCAAAAAAAACCAGTGTTGTACGGATGAGAATTCCACAATTAAGAGTAATTTTTTTCACATTCTCCCTGTTTCACGATCAAACACACGCTTCAGGTAAAAATGTTTGTCATTGAAAACTATATTCTATATATGAATAAACACATTTGATCTAGCGGCTTTAAGAGGCACAACTCTTATAAAGATTGCATGGATGAGATTGATTTTTAAACTGATCATATCACCAATCATTGTCAAATGACTGGTTATATATATACTGTATATATATATATATATATATGTATATCATTGAACGGCAATAGGGCATTTAAACATTTGCGAGGCGGGCGGGGAGAGGGATGTGTAGAGGCAGGATCAAGAAAAAGAAAAAAAATATTGTCACTTACCGCAATGGAAAGTATCATTCCACTATTGCAGGAACGGCCAACATTTTGTCAAAAAAAACTTGACTATTCGACGATATGGAGGACACAATGGAAGACGTTTTGTCTTGAATCAACTCGCGGCAAGGGATACAGTATGAGTTTTCAACGCTTGTAGTTTCAACACACTGAAATGCACTAGTTTACAATTTTTTTACGCTAATTAATAATTCATTCACCCTAATAAAGCCAGCAATTTTATTCTTTTTACATTAATCTATCAATATTTTATTAATAAATTTTACAAAAAGCCGATACTGAAGTGGAAAAATTCATACGATTCTTTTTTCACCTGTAAAATGGCTATTCCTCCGTGTGTTTCATTCTAATCAAATTATACTTTTTCTAACTAAATTATAGATAAATTCGTTAGCAATCCTTTTCCATGTTTCCCATGATCTGTAGTCGTTCCACGCATTTCGAAGAAAGGACGAACGGATAAAGTGCAATGAGTTATTGAACGGACATAAAATACATTGCGATTGTAACTACCCTTTCCATTATTAGCGTCGCTATTATACCCTATATATAAAAATACAATAATACAGTCAATTAAACTTAATTTGCCATCATACAATTTCTGCTTCCAATACCATTCAATCTTTCACCAGGGATAATAAACTTTTTGACAAACGTATATTGGTGCTTACAGCAGTCGACCTTGACATTACTTCTTTGTTTTCGTAGTTGGAGATAGGGGGTATTCCCTATTGTTTATAAGTTGCAAAGTGGAGCTTTCCGTTAATCTGAAAAATATTCCTCTCTTTTTGCAGTGACGATTACTTAAAAATTTCATCAATTCTCCGTATAATACTACAAAGGGTAGGAGAGAAAAATAAAAGTGTGTAACAGTTCCAAACGTCGAAACTCTAATCGGAAGTACGGAAGTTTCTTTCGAAGAAAACAGCGATTGTAAAAAGTAAGTAGCTAAAACATTCCTAAGAAGGTTTATTTCGCTAAATAATTACGATAGTAAAATATATAGTAAAATAATTCGCCAATGGCAATAGATCAACAATTTTACGGTTATAAAACACGCCAATGTTATACTGACAAACTGAAAATGTACATATTGTTCCATTACCAATCAAGTGCTCTATTTAAACAACACATCTTTCCTTCGTTTAACATAATATGAACATAATTCATGTTTTTTAAACGATTACGTAATACATGCTACGGTACACATTTTGGTGAGTGCAAACTTCCGGTTGGTACTGATCGATACTGCTCCGTCAGAGATTGTGATGAGTATTGTAGAGCGTTGCAGCGACAACCAAAAACCAACGGATAGATTGTGCATTGAAGGAATAGTCCTATTATATAGCCTGCCTGCTATATAATCCTAAATGTTTGTCTTAAATGTTGTGTTTATAAAACCTAAAAGTAATCAGCTTACTTAACCATTTCATCTTCATCTTTGTTTTTACCTCTCTCTCTCTCTCTCTCTCTCTCTCTCTCTCGCTCTCTCCTGGTTGCTTCCTCTGGCTCTCTGCCGCTGATAGGAAATTCTAACTGCAATTTGTTGCTACTGAAATTAATAAACTTCTTCGGGCTTAACAAACCCCGATCATAATCTCAATATATCAAAAGTATTTATTACAAATATCGGAATGAATCATCGCCATACGCTGTTTTATGGACTCTTAATATGCAGTATGTATTAACAGTATCCTACTTTTATTACTATACGTTAGTAGTTAGATTATAAAGAAGATAACGATAATTTTATCGTATTCCAGTTGTGAAATTAGCAGATTGTCGTCTATGCAAAAACAACGAACAATGTAAATTGCTGGACAAGAATATGTATTGCCACAAAAGTGATCACTGCCAATTTGGCAAATGCAAATGTTCAAATGGCTATAAGAAAAGAGCCGATCAGTGCTACAAAAGTAAGCTCTCATTTTGATGACTTTATTGCAGAGATAGTCAATGCGAAGCTGTATTTTTTTTTTTCTTTCTTTCTCTCCATTTTACCTTTTAACTTTTGATGGAAATAATTCACTTTGTGTAAACTTGTAATATCAACAGTTTTACGTTATGGAGAAAAATGCGGACCAGGATACGGCATCTGCCCGGGAAATTTCGCCTTATGCTCTTTCAAAACAAACAGATGCGACTGCCTTACTGATGCCAAACCAGTTAGGAATTCAATTCATTGTATTGCTGTAAATGAGACGCTACCGAATGAAAGCTGTACCAAGTTTTGCACCGACGTCAGGTCTTATTGTAAGAATGGAGTTTGCTCGTGCTTTGATCAGTACGCTCCTAGTTCAGATGGTAAACGATGCGAAAAAAGCAAATATCATCGCAAATGCGTAGGAGATAGCCACTGCTTAAGAAATATGGTTTGCCTCTTCGACGAATGCCACTGCAAAAATCAAACAATATTTCTTAGATCTATAGGAAAGTGTGTGCATAGGAAGGCTAAACTTTCTGCCGTGAATGGCAGTTGTACTGTTCATACGGAAAGACGCGATAGTAGAGTTTGCGTTAAAGGTTCTGAATGTTCAATTTGTCCTCACAAAAATTTTGGCATTTGCATAGCGAAAACAGTATTGGAAGTAAATGATTCAAATTACAAGAGTTGGGCATTTAAAAACCTACCCCATTGGCCTTTAATCCTCTTTTTCCTTTCTTTATTGAACCTAGTCTGAGGGCGTTCATTACGCCTTCCCAAAATTGAAAAGAAGAAACCAGTAAAAAAAAAAGTATCTCGTTCAAGATTATCAAGTCGTTCATCAGTTTAGATAAGCGTTTAAACAATATATTTTTTTATATCATTATTTATTGCTCTCTCAATAAAAGTATTACATATTTATCTACGAAATGAATTATATAACATTTTTTTTCTCCTTTAAACAGACAAACTATCTAGATCGGATGCGATATGAACTGATACGAAATTATTTACTTTACCAATGCTACACTACTGAACTTTAATACTAAAGATTTACCTGAAATGAAAATGGAGCAAATGTAGAGCTGCGCAAAAAAATCTATCTTATACAATTTCATGAATTGGGACCACGCTATTTCCCATACACTTTTATTCAATCGACATTTTCTATTGGCGTAGCAATTTTTTACGCTTTAAATCCAATTCATTATACGATTTATACAGACCTACAATCATCATATGAGTTCATTCATTTTTTTTCCCATTATTCACGCATTTGTAATTAAATAGTAAACAAAAAAAAATATCGATTATACGTATGAATGAATGATCATAGTAGTAAATTGATCTAAGGATTATCGGTCGTTGATAAAGGGAAATAGATCGATTCTACGGAAAACTACACCGTTCGCCTAATCGGTATAAACGAGAATCTTGATAGTCAACTCTTCAAAAGATTTTCATTACAGATCGGCGAATGGACTACAAATTAGAGTATTTGTGTTCCATAGATAACAACATACAGCTGCCCATTCAAACAGGAAACCGGAAATGGTCGGAACAATAATCGCATCCGTGACACTTTCGACCCGATGGGGCGGTCCATGAACTCTACTTCCGCCTCTGAACAGCTGCATCTTGTTTCCAATACATTTATGGCCAAAAAACGCAAACATCATTACAACATACATACATACACACATAAATTGTTATTTTCCTACGCAGTAGTATACATCAATAGAAGACAAAACAACAAAAAGTACATTTATACTAACATATACATTAAATATATATTCATAATTACTTCAAAGCGTTTAGTTTATAGAGAGTAACATGTGTTTGGTAATGTGGGAGTAATGAAATTAATGTAAGCAATATAAGCTCAAGTATGAAGAGCTATTGAATATACCACTGACGTATTGGTATATATTGGTAGGTGGAGACTAATTCAACAATAAAAAAGGATACATTTTAGAGCGGTTTTCCTTTTTAAATAAAGGAAAGAACTCCCTTACCTATTGTGGGGGTATAAATATGTTCAATATATTTTTGGCACGTGTTTATTTGCCCTTTAACAATGTCGCCTGTTCCCGTCTTTTTTCGGTTTGGAACCAGTCAAAGATATTGCGGAATAGAAACCAGCCATGGGTTACGCATCTTGTCTACAAAATAGCAGTTTATGAATATAAGGGAAACGGCACCAGTTAAAAATTTTGGCGGGAAGTTGAACAGGTTACTTCCGTCTTCAACTACACTCAGTTCAATCGCGATTTCCGTCGATGTCGATTCTAATTTTACGAGGATTAAAAAAATATGTCCAATTCACCAATATTTCCACGACGATCGGATAAAGCTAATTTTTCAAAAAGAAAGAAGTACAGCAGGTAACTTTATTTCGTTCCATTATCGCTTTCCTTACAAATCATTTTTCTATTCTCTTATCGTGAATGTCACACCCAAAATTCTAGGTTGAACATACCCAATATTATATTGGAATCATTTATACTTATTACATAGCGAAATCGTTTATTATTTTGCTCTCTATCAATCACATGTTGTTTGACGTCCTCTGTCCATTCATAAAAAAAACACGTTGACCTAATTACATTGTTTTTATTGAAAAAAAAAACTTCCTCTATCAATTTTATCATTCAATATTAAATTATTACAACATTTTTGCACATTGAATTGCGTATGTATATAACTTATTCACCCACTTTTTACGGCGTCTCCCACACTTCATTCATGAATGAAGAGTTGGGAAGCCGGGTGGCTATTGGTTAAGATTGATCACGTGCAAAAAAACCACGTGATTCGTAGGTGTTTCGACTTTCGTCATTAACAATAAACGTTCACTCATTAACGAAGCTGGTCATTTATAAAACGTTAAGGGATAAACACCAATTACCGAAGTAGCGCTAAAGGATCAGCGCTGGAAATAGAGTATCAACTAAAAACTACACTTATTCTCGTTTAATGCGGACACTCCTATACGAAACTGAATAAACTCGTCGCGATATCGCAAATTTCCAGTCGTTAATCTACGAAATAACGGCCGATTTTCGTCTAATTGAGCTAATTAGAGAATTAGAGTTTGACTAGAGGATTCATTAAGACCTTAAGTGTTGGATTAACGTTTTGCTAGCCCCGAGAATGACCTGATTATCGAAAAAGCGTAAGTTGACTTTGATAATATGAATTAACACTGCTACTTTCTTCTAGTTTCTCTTGTTATAGAATGTATATGGATGTTTTTATAGCCGTTTTTCTCTTATTAAAATGAAAAATCAAATACTAATAGTGACATTTATTTAGAATGACAAGGGCCGATTAGTAATTAAGCGCTTTGACCAACTGTATATGATAATATCGTGAAATAGCGTGATCTCTAAAACTTGTTAATGAATTATCATTACTGCGAGTAGTGTTGTAGTATGATTTATGGGAGGTGAAGTTAACGCTACATATACTATCTTAGCCGATATTCGTGCAGGAGTCGAATAATTATCTTGTACTATGATAACGAAGCAGCGAATTTCAGCGAAAATACACGCTTTAATAGAGTAGGGAGGGCTAGGAGATTGAGAGAAAATTAATGCGAGTAAGATGGCGATTGATTTCCCATAAATAGAATATCTCTAGAGGCTTACCGTTACGTAATCCTAATGATTAGACTTACAAATGGAAAGAAGAGTCAACATACTTTTTTCCTATAAAAAGCAAAAAACATTGATAAGATTACATGTTGATCGCTTAAACGTTTTGACAAATAAATATTCATAATAGTAACATTCGCTATGTCTAACTCTCTGTCTCTCGCTGTCGCCTTTCGACTCTTATCATCGATTTGAAGATGTAATATCACATAATCTCACCTCCAAATAAAGCATAATCAGTCGAGTTTTATTTGTACACGAACTGTGCATTTGCAATGTTTATTTGGATATTTATTTATCTATTTAATCGTGAATTCAGGATAGGACGAAATAATGTTGCGGTAAAGGTAACTATTCCTCAACCAACGGCGACAGACATCGTCAATATTTAGTGTAATAGACGAAAATATATCATAAGACATACGATGTGTGTGTGTGTGTGTGTTTCTATACTTGAACATCGAGTATACACTCATCTGTAGGAACTTGCTCAAGGGATAGTTATACAGTTATATACACTAATAGACATGCTGTTGCAGTCTGTATCCTATCAGCTAGTTTTTATATTCTTATTATCTAAACCACTGAGCAAACTCTTTTAAAATGTTCTTCAAAAACGGCTTACTTACCTAAAAAACAGGAATAGAACTTTAAATGACCTATTCTGAAAGTGTAAAAATCTGTACAAATTCGATATTTAAACTCTTTCCTCAACTCTTCCCTCTGTCTATCATTTCAGTTATTTATTTATTCATTCATTCATTCATTCATTCCTTCATTGACCCATTCACTCACTCACTCACCCATTCATTCATTCAAATCATTCTTTTCTTTTTTTAAGAGACTATTTCTAATCTAGATATGCAGTGTTTATTATAATTTCTCTCTATCCCCTACATAAAACAGAAGATCCCTAGCGCGTATCTCCCCCCAAGCTGCAGCCAGACTAGCCGAACCCCTACTCCAAATTAATCCCGATAATCCGATGGATTACGAAAGTCCACCACCAGTACCGCCGAGATCAAGAACGGCTTCCTTCAGTGCTCTCGAATCGCCTATGAGACGAGCTAGGGATAACAACTATGTGGATTATCCAGTTCCTACGTCACTTCCGGTTCCACCAGTTCCGCCCAAGGATTATGCATTAACGAAGGATAAAAAATCTAAATTGCCAAATTTAGAACCGGCCATAAGGCCGGACTTGAATCGGTTGCCACCCGCACCATTCAAAGACATTAAAATCGCCTGTGAACGATGTCGGAAATGTAGATGCCCTCAATGCCAGACTCCAAGAAAATTAAAGACTGCAAGACGTCTAATAGACGCTCTAACTTGTATGTGCTGCGTGCGGACGTGTTTCTATCATTGTTCGGATTTAGAAAATGATGAATACGACGATACTGCATGGGACAGTCCTTGCGCGTGTGTTGAAAAGCCGCATTGCCTGAAAAGGTGGGCAATCCTATTTGGTTTATTACCCTGCCTACCTTGCTTGATCTGTTATCCGCCTCTTAAAGGGGCTGTTAGGGTGTGTGATTGTATGTACGATAGAGCGTCTAGAAAAGGGGCTTGTCGATGCCAACAGCAAGAACAGCATTCAGATTCTGAATGTCTGTTTTCATGACTATGTGATCACCTCTCAGCAACACCTTATCCGATCCAGCAACGTCTGAATGGCGTTCAAAAAATATTTAATAATTCTACCGTTCCTCTTTCCTCTCTTTGCCTATACTGCAGGTTATTTATTACATGTCCATTGTATACGTCTCTTGTCGGTAATACTTTTCTCGCTTTCTCCCTCTCCCCAACCCTACTTTCCTTTTGCATGTTTTTTCTCCACTACGCTGCTCTGGCCCTTCCGCTCCTCGCTCACCCGCCTCCCCTCACCTCGATGCTTTGAACAAGCGTTGTTTACCTTACAGCTTACTTATTTATTTGCCAGCTTCTTTTTAAATAACACTTTTCCCCACCCGCTAATGTATTCCTAACCGATTCTCTTCTCTTGTCCTCACCAACTATTCGAATGTAATTTGCGGTTTGCAACTTGAAAACAAGTCTGATTTTCGTTTCTATCTTTTTTTTTACCACTTGAGTTTCTTTTCTGTAAGACAAAAAACAAAAAAAAAGACTACCATTAATATAGACTGAAAAACATTTAAAAAAAAATTATTAAACGACGTTTCCGGATCGGTAGTGAGGCCAATTTTCTTTGTAATCAGTTAGGCATAAAAACAAACAAACAAACAAAACAACATTTGTCAACCTATTAACAAATAGTAACGTTCAAATGGCATAACAAAACTGTATTTTAAAAATTTACAGGAAAGTTTAATCTGGTTTGTCTCGAGCGGCAATCTGTTTGTCGACTGTAAATAATATTAGTGTCTATAAAATGCATATCAATATTTAAAAAAAAAATGTTAGTGTTCATTTTTAGTTACTTGGTTTGTCTAGTTTTAAAAATCTTTGTTTTTCTTTCGTGAGACGCTTTTTGTCATGTTTTTTATAGTGAGATTATGTACATAATAAATAAACTATATACATATATATATGTCGGTATGTATGTATGTATGTATATATTATATATGTATATAAATATGAATTTATGAGTGAATGTTTATGTCTACTGTATATACGTATTCCCTTCTGTATACAGTGTACATTTATTGATTCTGAATTATTTATGCGGACAGTATCAAAATACTGTGCAACATGTAGACCTTTATCTATAAAAGGAACATACAAAATAATTAAAATTTGACATTGAAAGAAACCAACAAGAGCGTAACCATTTTGGCTGTAAAGTGAAGAAGGAATATACACTTTTTTCTCCGAGATTGTACATATTTCTCTTTTTTGTTTGTTTGTATCGCGTGTTAATGATATTCCTGCAGAGATGTTATTATTTATTAAACTCTTTTTCTTTTCGTATTAAGCCATGAATTGAGTTTGCTATGTTGTAATACAGTCTTGTAAACGGAGAAGCCAAATCGTTGGTTCCCATTGACGGTCGTCAGGCCCCAATGAAATGGTTTGCGACTATCACATTAATTCTTTCCGCTAATGAAAATTATTTCAACTCGTCATCTTCATCTCATAATCATCATCTTCTTCTCCTCGCCCTTCTGCTATGTCGTTTTTAGCCAGTTGATGGCCTTCAACACAAAATCCAATTTTCAATCAATCAGTAACGAATGCTGGTCATTTCCGAACTCGTCTTGTTTGTAATGTGTGCACATTTTATTAACACTCCTTAAACCTACAAGTTTTTTTAACAACGTATAATCTAACTTTTTGTCAAGTGGTTTTGGAAATCGCTTTCAAGATCCCTTTCGATAAATTGATAAATTGATAGGAGAGATAAGAATGAAAATATTCCATTATGTGCGCGCAAAGAAATATTTGCTGGCTGTTTACCGGAAGTATAGTTTTTTGTCGGGACAAAGTTTGCTGAACGGCAGATTAGCGCCGGGCAGATACTCGTAAAAATTTGCTTGACAGGAAGTAAAGTAGTATTGTGACTGCGATAAGTAAACAAGCTTTCTCAAGATAAAAGAGTAAACACACAGTTTCCTGTCGCCCGTTCATTTTCTATACTAAGTGAACTTAGCAAAGCGCGAAAAAATCTACACTTTTTTTTCACAAACTAGGCCACTTAAGTGCAAACAGTCTAGACTTTGGGCTTCTTTCGCTTTTCAATCGCTAGCTAAAAGATCTGGAAGAGATTTGGCAGTGGAAAATTTAAAACAGAATTATTATGCTTCGTTATTGAATAATCTCACCTAGGTTATTCCGCTTTAGTTTCAAAAAGAAAACTAAAAATATATCTCTACGAAAAGACCTTTCACTAATGAATTCAACCTCTTAAGACAATCTTTCTCAGGTTTTCAAGGATTACAGCTTTTGGGCACCTTATTAAAGCGGCGCTGCTTGCTGTAAATCTCTTTCCGATATCTGCTATCCATCAAATGCCTGACCGACTTTGACTGCTTCTCAATCTGCGTTGTTCTATCATTTAATTATTATTGTTAATGTTATTATTATTATTATTATTATTATTATTATTATTATTATTATTATACCTGAGAACTTTACCGTTCCATTCCAACAACAAACAATTAAAAAACAGAAATATTTCTGTCAGTATTTTATATAAATAGCTAAGAAATGCACATATATATACTGTATATTCAGTATATACTAATATATATATATATATATATATATATATATATATATATAAACCAGTTAAATAAAGTACATACTCAGATAAGCCATTATAACGATGAAGATAAAGATACCATACTTTTTGCGGATTTACTATGCTGTATATATGCTATTACAGAACTGGAAATAAACCTATAAACCGTATACGTATACTTATCTATACATATATGCATATGTATATTACTTATTAGATTTTGTATTCAGTTAAAAGAGTTAAAGTGTAACTATTCAATTACATCAGCTTGGAATGAAATCGTTTCTGCCTCGAATAGCGTTCACAGATTATTTACTTGATAACAATTGAACAGCGTCGATATTTGGATGTTTTCTTCGTCATAGTTCCGCAATAATTCACCAAGCGAACAAAAAGGTACGTTCACCATGATTTCTTCTTCTTCTCATCTCCTTCTTGGCGATAACATACTGCAGACATCCTCTTCCGAATAAAAGCAAACCCAAGATAACCAAAATCCACCAAAGCCACGGTTCAAACCCCATCAGATGATGTGAACGATTATGCCATATTCTTTGCTTGACGATAAATACCCATTTTATCATCGACAAACCAAAACCTGATAGAAAACAGAAATGGTTATTCTATATAAACATAATTATCTAATAAACATTTCGGCAACAGAGTTTTTTACCAACCTGCCAATGCTCCACTTCTGCCGGCTATGGTATGGCTTATACAAACCGAAAATAACAGTCCAATGCAATTGAATAAAAACGAAACTGTAAAGGATTTTTTCAATATACTTTAATATTCAGTAACAAAATATGTTGGCAATATACTAACTGAGGAAACAAACAAGGAAACCTCCGTCATTTCCAACTTCCGCCTCGTACGCCAAATCACTCGAATTTCCCTCACTATTCAATATCAGACTCCCTTCTGCAAAATCAGGTCTATGGGTTTCTTCTAATAATTTCGTTCTCTCTGCCTCTTCGTAAGTTGGCAAATCCGTCGCAATTGAATAGTTGGGCAACGCACCATTTTGCATTTTTCTAAGCTCTTCTTCGTCGCCCGGTACAACTTCATTATAATCTGGAGGATTTACTTCCGTAAAAGAATCAACCGCTTCTGCCGGACTGGATTCACCGTTTCTAACCTTCAAAACAAAAAGCAATAATCAAATAATTCAGCCTCGAAATTCGTGTATTCTCTTATTCTTTGTTTACTTTATCATTTAATTACACCTTAGCACTAATCAAACGAACTGCCAGCCTAAAAATAAAATTTTACTTCCGAAATAAACAAAATTCAAAAACTATATCAATATATCCTTTATCATAATATCATAATAATATATCATATAACAATTAGACAATATGGACGGAACATTTAATTTATAGGAAAGTCATCTACAATCCCAGCCTCTTAAACTACAACATTCGCATACTTACAACAGAATATCTGGTTGAATTCGACATAGTCTAAATCATTCCACGACAAGATCACCGAACAGCCACTAGAAAATTATGTTCCGAAAACAACAAATATGGCCGACAGCCAACTTCCGCCTTCGTCCCGTAATATAAAAT